AAAAAAAATAAACTTGATAGCGACGGCGCCCAGGTCTCGGGCTTTGGCGCCTTTTAAAATTTTTGAAATTTCAGAAAGCGCCAAAGCTCGAGACTGGGGCGCCGTCGCTATCAACAGCCTTTAAAACTCGAATATCTGAGTCTCGGGCGCCGTCGCCAACTTCCTTCCTAAAAACACAATATTCTTGTAAATAGTTTTAAAACCACTATATTCGTGTTAAATTAAAAAAAAAAACAATATTCATGGAATTAACCCACCAAATGGGAGGCATGCTGCTACTTTTCTTGTGTTGCTGAATGGAGAAAGTGTCCAAATTTTTAGGTTCATGGGAAGCTAATCTATAGCAGAGAAGCTCAGTCTCACTGAAAGGGTAAGGGCCATTGGCCCAAATGGCAAATGGAATTGAAATTGCAAGGGTGAGGGCCGAAATGGCCAATGGGTTCTCTGAATTGGGTTGGGCTGCCTTTGTATTGAATGGGTATAACGGGTACCCATATACCCAAACGGGTATTCGCGGGTAACCCGCGGGTACCCATATTAGGAATGTACAATCCCAAGTCCCATCTGTTTATAATATTACGGGTAATATGGGTACCCGTAACCCTTAAAAAACGGGACGGGTACGGGTATACCCAAATACCCGTTTCCCGTTGCCCACCCCTAGTCTCTTTGTCCTAAATTAAACAAAAAAATCTAATTCATATATTTAAATATTAATTTCAAAGTTAATTAATTTTATATTCAATAATACAGATTGGGGTACCGAAGTACCGAGTGGGATACCGAAATATTTAGGGATTGAGATACCGAAATTATTTAGGAATTGGGATTGACTTTAGAATGTAATTCGGTATTCGGGATTTCGGTAATTGGTATTGGGATACCAATACCGTACCGATTTTCACCCCTAATCTCAGCCACCTAGGGACACTATCATTCACGGGAAGAATATACTTCAAATTTCCGATACAAAAGATATTTGAAATCTACAAAAATATCGTAATATAAGTTACAAAACTAGAGCAAGTTGTAATACATATATATACCTATCCAATAAATCTTATTCGATTTTCAATTTATATGAATGAAATGCGTAGAGCTTAGCTTGAATAAAGCTTAGCTAAGCATTGTGGAAACTCCAACCTGTCGACGGCCAGTTTAAAATATTTCCCACTTTCTCCAAAGCAATAAATCGTTGGATTACTTCACATCGTGGTGCTAATTTCGTCAATTAGCGGTATCATGATGAACTGGATTAATCAAAAGATAATAATTTGTTTTTCTCCCCTTCTTAGGCGTGTGATTGTTTGATGTGGACGCAGCTTAATTGAGACAGCAGTCTTACGTATTAGCCACTCAAGCACCAGCCAGACCATATACATCCAAAAACCCTAATGGCTGCAGACAAGAAAGAAAAAAAAGATGTCGATGATTAAGAAATAACATTAAGCATGAGCTAATTGGAGACCAAAATTGAAGGACGATAATCTGGTTGTTTCTGGATCTGTCAATGCACATGCTATGTAAAGACTAGCGATCCACATGTGGTGTGTACTGGGTTTTTTTTCTCGAGAAAAATGAAGGTGAGATAAGTGAGGATTTCGTCTAAAATGGGACTAGTAAAATCGAGGGCGGGGGTATATACATATACTGTCACCCTTATAGAGAAAAAAATTTTTTCATTCATTCATTCATTCATAAGATCAGGGTACATATATTGTCACCCTTATAGAGAAAGACGATCTACCTACTTCCCATCGTGAATGGAAGCTCTGCACCTAAGGAAGGCTGGTTACAGCTATACTGAAACGTCTCTTATCACTTTTATCCTATAAAGAGACTATCCAGGAACCTAAGGGGCGTAGCGAGCAATCAAAAGCTAATCTCATACCTCATGGTCTACTAAAAAAGGAACTGTAGCTTGTATTGGTTCGAATCCAACACATGAGTAGTTGGCGTTATCAGCCCAACCCTCTGAAAAAAATCCTCATAGGCCCGTCCAACTTTACAATGAGTAATGACTATGAAAAATCTAGTCGCCGAGAAAACGATCTCTACTCAATATTGATACTTAGAGTTGGTACCGAGGTAAGGCCCAGAGGAAGGCTGGTGCTAAAAGCTATACTGACAGTACACATACTGACAGAAGCGAGTGAAGCGATTAACGACATCACAAAATATACCTTTTGGTTAAAAAAGGTAACCCATTGAGAGAAAAAAAAAACACAATGATGATACAGTATATGTATATACAGAATGAGAATAATATTCTTCAGTCTCGAAATATACCTTCAAGTCAAATCGTTAAAAATCGTCAGAACACATCCCTAATCATCCAATCAAATGAATTGAATCGCTATTGTAATTGGTTTAGTAGTTCTACTAGCATAGTCATTGATTCAGTTCAGTTCTTATAACAATGATTATATCGACTTTGTTAAATATTTAATTATTCATTATATAATCTTATATTTGGAAAGGTTGGGTAAACTATAGAACATTAGTAGTTAAAACTATCAAGAATATCACTTTCAATGTACCAAACAATTATTCATTATTTAGTTAGTTGTTGGCTTTAGAATGATTTTTTTTTTTCAAGAACCAGACTATTTGTTAGTGCATTATATTAGAGATTGATCGATAGTTTTTTCTCCAACTCTGAAAATGAGGGTCACTTGGCAAGAAATTATCTGAAAATGGGGCATTCCAGAATTCCAATCAAACATTAAGATTTGATGACTTCGTTGTCATCACATATGAGTTGCCGTTTTTGGCTGGCGCAATGCCTAATGCCTTGTTTACAGCCACGAATTCTGATTTGGCTGGCTGGTGCAGTATAATCATATACCACATGCCGTGGCACCATCTCCAATTCTTTGACTCTATCTAATCATTCATTTCGATAACCTAACTTTCCTCATTTCATCAAGTGATTGGAAATTCCACAGAAAAACGGTTCAAAAGGCAACTCAATCATTCTCGAAAGTTGGTGGTGCGCCACAACAAACTAATTCAATGCCAACACATGCTTTTCTTCTCATTGTAGATGGATTGAGGATAGAGTTGCCAGTTTGGTTTCAAAATGGATTTGCATTCATGAACTAATGTCATTGTGGACATTTTTATCAGTGGGATCCATGATCGTTTTAGTCGTATCTATTGTAAAATTTCACGAACACAAAATTTTATAACAATGAGAGTGTGAAACTAAGATAATATTCAATAACTCGCAAGCACTTGAAACGTTGGTGGAAGAAGGAGGCTCATAGCATGTCATTTGGCCACTTTTGAAGTTTGCTTACTACATAGTAATCACATGTTGAACCGTCACATAAAATATTGAGATGCGTTTTAGACCCTGTTAAACGGGGAAAGTTAATCTGCTAATTTGAAGATTCATTAGCAGATACTAACTGATATTCAACATACATGAACTAATATCCAAGTACTAAACTATCTAGAGAGCACAGACTAGTATTCAAAGTTTGCTAACTGATATCCACCATGAATCAACTATTATCCCAAATTCACAAACTAATATCTAGACAACACAGAATAGTATCCAAACAACACATAATTAGTATCCAGATAATACATAAGAATATCCAGATAACACATAAGAGTATCCATATTGAATACTAGTTGGTTGATTGTGGATATTAGTTGGTATCTGCAATCTGGATACTAGTTTGTGATGTTTTGAATACTAGTCTGTGCTATCTAGATACTCAGCAGACTTGGATATTAGTTCATACATTTTGGATATTAGTTAGTATATACTAACGAATTTTCAAGTTAGCAGAATAACTAGGTTGTAAATAAACTACACTACACATACAGTACTATGGACATGTCACATGAGCCCTCTTTCGGTTCTTACAATATTGATCATTCAGATATTATTAATGAGCGGCACAAGTGATAAGACATGAGTCATAACCTATCATTTTGAGGGGAGCAGATCCGGTGAGTAACCTTGTGGTCAGTAACCTCATGCATAACCCAATAAGAATCTGCCACATCAGCGCCTCCTTCTCTCTCCTGGAAAAATCATTAATTTTCTTTCCCTTAATCTTTAACGGACGATTTCTCATTCGTTTTAACTCGGAATTTAATTTTTTTTGCACAGTTAGATCAGATTAATTGTGCTCTTCAAAATGATATCCACTTTGATATTTTTTGGAACAAAAAAATTTGCCAGTTATTACCAGTCTATACCATATGGTATTGACTATACCATATGGTATTGACTGGTATTAAATAACAGCATATCATATGGTATGAAAAATACTAGTCAATATCATATGCTGTTATTTAATACCAGTAATAACAGCATACCATATGGTATGAAAAATACCACCTCATACCAGGGTGGTATAGTATGGTATGGAGTTGGTAACGAGAGGTTTGAAAATTTTTCCCCCAGAAAATTCTGAAATCCAATAGATCATGATTAAATCGTTCCTTTTGTGCAAAAATTTCCGAAATGACTAAACAACGAAGGAGATACCATATGGTATTATGGTATGGAGTTGGTAATGAGAGGGTTGAAAAAAAAATCTCAAAAAATATTGAAAATAGATATCATTTTGTAGAGCACAACGAACTCGTTCCATCTGTGCAAAAAAAATTGAAATCCGAGTTAGAATGAAGAAGATGTGATCCAATTAAGAAAATTAGGGAAAATAAATTTCTTTAATTCTCCACCCTTAGATCTGCAATCACTTAAAAGAAGGGTCCAGATTTGGTTACTCATTGACCATTGTTACTCACCCTAAAATTACTCACTCTATCTTGAGCCCATTTTGAGAGGGGGAGGGGGAATCACTTCCGCTCTGTTTGGATAGAGGCGTAAATATTGGGGGGCGTAAATCCCAGGGGTAAATGCCCTTCCCGATAAGTTCGCACCTGTTTGGGAAGTTTCTGAACAGTAGGCGGCAGATGAATGGAGGCGCAATTCTACTGTTCTAGTGTACCCCAAATTGAGGCGGAAGTGGAGAGAAAAAAGGCTCAACGATTTCTCCTTTTTTCCTGAAAATTTTTTCTATCTCTTTCCTCCGTCAAATCTGCCCGTGAATTCGCCTCCGCTGGCGTGAGAAAGAAGCCCACGCCGCCGCCGGTAACATCTAAAAAACAGAATCCATAACCCAGAATCAAGAAAAGCCGTCAATTACCCAAAAATCATAGAATTAACCTAAAAGAAACATGCATGCCCAAAGCGTTACCTAATCTAGAATTCAGATCCCCTCTCTCCTTACGTCGGCGGCTTCGATCTCCCGCCCTCATCATCATCGCTATTCCGATCTCCCCCGGAGAAAAATCGTCAGAGTTGTGGGAAGATCGACGGTAGCGGCCGGAGAGCTTGAGGGATTGGATTGGTGAGATAAAGAGGAAGAGAGAGTGTTGGAGAAATCAGAGAAGGGAGATGGAAGGCTGAAAGACAGAGAAAGAAGATACGTTGTTGATTTGGTGTGGATTTGGTCGTCTAAGACTAACTCCAACCCAAAAGGTTATATTTAGCCTCTCAAGCTCTCAAATGTACATTTTTACCTTCCAAAAATACTTTTTTGCTCCAACTCTAAACCTTCTAAATTTGCCTTCCCAACTCATAACCAACCAATCAAAAATTAAGAAAGTAAAAAAATAATAAAAGAGAAGATGCTGGAAAGTGGAGGGCCCCAGCGTGTGGGCTTGGGTTCCATGGTTGGTCCCCCACCTTCTCCTTGCATTTTTCCATATCAGCTTCTATCTATCCACCTCCAAGCCCACTTCTCCAAATTTGCAAGCTAAATAATTGATGGGTTGGAGATGAAAAAAGCAAAAAAAACCTCCCTTTCTCCAAATTTACATGTTTGGGTTAGAGACAGTCTAATTAGTTTTGTCAAAAAGGAAATTAGTGAGAGAGAGAAGGAATAATGGAATGGGGAGGAAAGGTTGAACGCGGAGAGAGTGTATGAGATTAACGTTGGGGAAGATTAAAAAAATGATTACTTTTTGATTTTTGTATTAATTTACTAATGAAATATTATTAATTAAACAAACTCCACCTATTTGCACCCTCCTACCTTTTTTTTCCAAACAATCATCATTTGCACCCCAATTTACACCATTCTCAAATTTGATCCCCCTACAATTTGCACTTCAATTTACGCCCCTCGAATTTGCACCCCTTGTTGCCAAACATAGCGTTCATGACTATCGTCTACCGACGTAGCTATAAACCCAAATCTCCTATGTTCATGAATTTGCCGTCAAATACATTCATACAAATCAAGCTAAACTGAAATATATGCACCAGAAAATCACTTTAACTGTCCATATTACTTATTGACACATACAAACGTGTCAGATTAGGGCAACTGGAGGGCTTCCTTACCAAGAAAAGATTATCTATACCCTTTGACCTTAAAAAGATTGATTATCTATACCATTACAAGTAATCAACCGTGTGCTGTGAGCGTAAAAACTAAAAAGGCAACTAGTTTTTTACCCGCCCGTTGGGCGGTGTATTTTGTTTGGTTGTTTTATAATTCATTATAGTATTCTAATTATTATTATTATTTATGTTTGCTAAGGTAATATACATGGAATTGTAAATCCCACTTACCTTATTTCAGGTATTATTTCAAACTTGTATACCTTTTTTTTATTTATGAACATTTTAATTTTATTAACTGAGCTCTTTGTAGACGGTTCTTTATTGATTTAGATTTTTTTTTTATCGAACTCGCCCTTTAAGATTATAAACATAAGAGATTATTCATTCTTTAGCACAGAATTCTGATAAAGAAGTTAAAAAACTTACGGCCACAAAAGAAGAAGTTAGAATAAGAAAATATGCTTCAATTAATTAAAAAAAAATAAGCGAAGAGCTTTTTGTTTTCTCGCCCTTCTCATATGTCGGTATATGATAATAGAGAATATTCCGATCTAAATCCCATGAATATCGTGTATTGTCACTACCTTATTAAAGCAATATTTTCAGAAAATTAAACTACATATAATTTATATTTTGAAATTATAATGAAAGGAGTAGTCTTCAATACAACTCAACTCATTTTATCATTCAAATTCCTCTTTTGTGAACTGAATATATGCATCAATCCAAATAGTAGTTTGTAAGAAAACAATCATATCAAAATCAATCTTTAGTTAGGGATTCAATGCAGAAAAATTCACCTTAATGAAACAAACAAATGTCACCGCAAACATGTAGAAATTAAAAAACATCGAAATAGACAACCGAGAAACCACCATTATCATTTTCTTTCTTCTTCGCGACTTTTATAAAACCCCAATTATGTTCCCTTCTACTTATAACCCCTTTGCTACCTAACAATTACTAACCAGATCATCATTGTATAGCTAGCTAGTAGTAGCATGTCAATAATGAACATAAAATATAATAAACAATCATCACAGCTCTACTTTCCATTTCAACATTCAAGAAATCGGGTTGCAATAGGCATTCAAGAAAAATGATCAATTATTCAACCAAAGGAGGTATTAGGTATGCCCTAAGTCCAACCAATTAACCCTTCTAATTATATTTTATATACATGAAAGTATATGGCGACCCTTCTCAGTAAAAAAAAAAAAGAAATATATTCACTCATCGAGAGTGGGAAAATTTACCATCCAACAGTCATAATTTGGAAGAAATTAAGAAAAAAATGGGAAAAAGAATATAACTCGGCCAGTCAACCGCAAACAATAACATATCGCTGAGAAAATGAGACCAGCTGCCAACTTCAGATCAAGGAGGAAGAGGGAGCAGTCGACAACCCTCGGCTTGGTTCACCTCATCTTCACAATGTTCAGATTAACTTTTCTCGTCAACAGGCAAAAATATGTTACAACTGCTCAAAATTTTATCATCTTATCGTTGTCTCGTGTAACTCCTGCCTCCTATTCTCATACAAAGAAAAAAAATCGTATGCATTACCATTTCCTTCTCTATAAATTATGAGAATACAAATATTAGAAATCTCAAAAAAAATTAGAAAAATAATAAGAGGGCTTTGTTTATTTTTATGGTGGTTGACATACTTTCTTGATTTCTTATTTTCAATGTTGGATTTTATTTCTAGAGAGATAATCAAAATGGGGAAAGGGATAGAAACAAATTAAAAGTTTGCATTAATAATTAATATATTGTCAGAGAAGACTTATCCTTCCACCCATGGAGTCATGGAGATGGATAAAAAAGGTGTCATAATCTGGTTGCTCAAATAGTACGATATTTTCTTTCTTGGGCCAAATCCGCACCGTTTTACTCTTGTGTGTCCACCCCAAAATGCCTCGTATTAATCGGGCTAGGGTGGACACTAATAATATGATCAATGCTTGCTGTCTTTTCCTTTCCTTCTTTCCTTTTTTGCACCCTCACTCATACATTCACTCCACGCTCATGACTCACTATAAATATGCTAATAACATTTACCTCTTTTCCTTTCCTTCTTTCCTTTTTTGCACCCTCAGTCATACATTCACTCCCACGCTCATGACTCACTATAAATATGACAATAACATTTCTCTCTCTCGATTAAAATCCAGCAAATCGCAAGTTTTAATATATAAAGCTACTCTCTTTCTGTTTCTCTCCTTTAATTTTACCTAACTGGGTGCAGAAAGAAGTGTCTGATATGGGGAAAGAAGTGAGTGTTTGATAGCAAAAAAATATAGTCATATCGTTCATTTCTCAAAGTCGATTGATTGTCAAATGCTTATTTTCTCTTAGACCATCGTTTATATTTTGTATTGAAAAATATTAATATTTATGTGTGTGCTTGTTTTTTTTTCTTCATCAAAATGTAACTTATTATTAAGTTTTAGTAAAAAAGAGTAGAAAATTTACTTAATCAAATTTAATCAGCTTCGCTTAAACAAATACAATATATGTCACTCTCTCTTTCCATCTTTATAGTTTGTTTAATCGAATTTTTTTATTACTTAGGTGTGTTTTTTTTGTTTAAATGTTTCTTAAAAAATTAACTTATTTTAATTATAGTAAAAATGAGTAGAATTATTAAAATAAGAGAGAGACAACTTCATAAATAGATCAATAAATAGTTTTTTGTTTGTAAAAAAATTGTCCACCTTGGCAACTTGTGCATTCACCAAGTGCTTATGTGGCAAGAAATTATTTTTGAATAGCCATAATATTAAGTATAGATTAGGGTAGTGGATTAATTTAAACGTTTTGACGTGGCAAGTTGCGTGAGAGAGTGTGCCAGCAAAAACGGTGGCGTAGTAGGGCCGGAATTTTAAAGGTGAGCTGTGAGCGACGGTTGTAGTAAGAGTGTAGGACAGAGACGTGAAATACCAATCACAAACTGCCACGTTGTGGGGTCCCTGGATTCTCCAAGATTCCTCCCCATTCCAAGGACGCGTGTCACTGTCTCATGCCGGCCCACATCCACCCTATCTTGTCGCAACCAAAAACCTGTCGCTTCTAAAATATATGACCACAAAATTTATCTGAAAAAGCTTGCTTTGGACGGAGACGATTTTTGCTAAACTACTCAGCCAAGCCCATGTGACTGTGAGGGAGTGCTTATTATAGTTAGGAACCGCGGGTTGGTTTCGATTTATGATTTATTGGTTTCTCTTAATGGGTTAAAAACTTGAAATTAGTAAGCTTTTAATGGTTTAGGTTAAAATCAAAATTAGTTAATAAATCAATAAAAAATAAACAAACTTTTTTTTATAATGAATGCAGTGGGGTTGGGAAATTCACTAACAGTCCTACAAAATTCAATGGGTAAGCATCGAATCAGAACTCGCAACCTCATGAAAACCAAACAGGAAAACATGCCCCCGACTAGCCAGATAATTAGCACATCTATCAGTAATTTTTGGTTAATGAAAAAGTCGATAATCTCTAAATAATTTTGATTTTGGAAAATTGACTCATTCGAATTTTGGTTAATAATTTTTCGTTCGGTTAGCTAAACCGCCACCCTACTACGCTTGATAGTTATCGGATTGTACGCGGACAATTCAACATCCGCAGGACGCTCCGAGCAAAAATATTCCTTGTACCAGTGGCGGACCTAAGGCAAGGGAGGGTGTGTCGTCCGACACACCCTCGCTCGAGAATTTTGTGAAGGACCTACATATTTTTTGTACAAATTTTTTTATTTCGAGATAGCCGACACACCTTCATTATACTCGAAGAATTTATTATCCAAATAAATCAATTTTAATCATAATCCTTTTTAATTTTGTTTAAAATAACTCATAAATCATAATCCTATCAATTCCTATTAAAAAAACAAACTCTCAGCCCATACAATATACATGTGTGATGTGTGTTGGGCCTCGGCCTATAATTAAAAGAGGAAAAAAAACTCACAGGCCGAATGGCCAATAGCCCAGACGGTCACTAACTCCTTATCATTACCTGTTGCAACGACAAGCTGCGTAAGAACATTTTCAGCTATGAAGATAATCAAGAATGACCCTCGAAATCAGTTGAGTGACCAATTTATGAATGATTGTTTAGTTGTGTATATTGAAAAAGATTTTCTTTGCAGTATAAATGATTAATGTATTTTAGAGACATTTCAGCATATGAAAAGTCATCGCGATTCGTTGTAAACATGACATTGTGAACTTTATGAATTAATTTTTTTTAATTTCTACTTAATTTTTTTTTAATTTTTTTAATTATTATTTTATTTTATCGGCGACACACCTCTCCGACAATTCTGGGTCCGCCACTGCCTTGTACCAAATTATTCTAGAGTCGTAAAGGAAACCACAATGCCTCCTAGAATGGTTTTAATTTCTTTGTAATTATTTGTTAGCTTATGCCAATTCAGGTTTGTTCCTAGGACGAAATGTTGCTTATAGAATAGAATGTAAGAGGAAGCCCATCCCACAAAAAGCCCAATGGTAATCACCCGAAAACAGGAGTCCATATATGAGAGTTCGGCTGTTCTCTCAAGTTGGACCAAAGCCACATATCAGTACCAAGTGAAAGCACACCGACGGCCACCCGAAAAGCCCTATTCCTGAAACCGTGATTTGTTATCTCTATCTATCTACTCTAATTATAATACGTTGAAGCCTAAAACTGAAGCCCCATTTTGAAATTGCTGCCTCCGGAGCGTTTGTCGGAAGGGTATTTTGGGACACGGAAAAATACCCCGGTTCATATTGCGACGGTGAACGGGCCTGGCGATTTTTTTGTGGTGAGTCGGAGCAGCGCTGTCCCCGTTCAGTGTCTTCACCGTTACCTCGCCGCCTGCGCAGCCTTCGACTTTCACGGCCACTTTCGATCCCAGCAATCCGCTAGGGATCGTGGAGAAACTCTTCGACTTCCTGGCCGCGGAGAGCGACTACCTCTTGAAGTACGTGGCGGAGAAAGAGATCGCGGCGGTGGCGAAGGCTGCCAAGGAGAAGCGAAAAAGGAAGGAGGAGGCGGCGGAAAGAGAGAAGACCGCCGCTGATAAGGCTGCCGAGAGCAACAATAGATTGAAGGAGGAAGAGAAAGAGAGGAAGAAGCCCGAGAAGGAGGAAGAGAAGGGCACCAGAGGTAAAATCGTTGTTTTCTTTACGCGGAATTTTGATTCAGGGTTATGACAGTGTGTGTTTAGTATGCATTTTGCTGCTTCGTGAAACTTCTCTGTTTGTGAATTGAATTCGAGGACAGCCTAGCTAAATGGTTGAACATAGGACGATATAGGCATGCCATTATAATTCCTTTCCGGCTTGATTAGAGTAGGGGAAGTTGTTTGTTGTGTCTGTATATGCATCATTGATATTGTGATGATGCTTCTGTTAATATGCTAAGGATATTGGTATGGTGCTGCAATTGCAAGCCTCTCATTCAAGTTGTGCCTCTTTGGTTTGAGTTTTTGGGTCCTCTACAGATTTGTTTCATCTCTTCCTCTGGCCAATTTGGTTCTTTGTGCTTATAGTGGTTGTTGACTATATAGATGATGTGCTTTGGTTTTGTGTGTAAGCAGGGATTTGGGGTTTGTTTTTGGCGTAATCTTTGTGGCTTCACGCTTCATGTGTCCAAATATAAGCTTGCACAAGGAATAGAAAGAAAGGAAAAGGTGGAAGATGTTAGGTACAAATGGAAAGTGGCGATGCAACGTTTACCTTGGAGTATGATGAGGATGAAATTAGGGAAGAGGAGAATGGGAGAAAGGAGTTGAGAGTAGGTTCTAATGGATGTGGTTTTCATGAATATAGGTGAATGCTTCATAGCTCTCTTGGTTCCGTTTTTCCTTTAGTCCTCAAAGCAAAAGGAATTCAATTTTCTGCTTCTTCCTGTTGTTTTGTAAATGGGTCTCGGTTTTGTGGTTAATCAGTAGAGGGATGGTATGAAAGAACACCCTTTTGGGGTGTATGAACCTGATACTCATTACTTCAACTTTTCATCAATCACAGACTAGGGAGATGCTTACTGTTTATAGTGTTTAGCCTTCTAGACTATCCGGATACTAACTGCATCTCTTTGGGAGAGGCAATTGCTTGCACTTTTCACACTTTTTCCAGTTGGTTGTTGTGGCATTTTCAGTTTACGTATTATATTGAGTTAAGATTGCATTGTATTCAACATTGTCCGAGGTTTCATGCCTCCAACATAAGCATTTGATGAGGCTGCTAGGTTGAGTGCTTTAAGTAGTGGTTTGGACATATGAACTCTCCAGCTTCAGTTTAAGATTCTCAAACTTATTGGCCTTTTTTGGGTCAATTAAGGGGTTGTCCATGAAGATGGGACTTAAGGAAATCAGGTTGTTTGTTTGATTTGCAGGGTGCATGTGTCTTTCTGCAATTTGCAGCTCGGTTAGTGACTTTTGCAGAAACATGAGTTTTTTTTTTCTTTACTCAGCATTCCCAACATAGAGTAAAGAAAATACTTGCTAGATTTGGGATGTTCATATTGTTTTTCTGATGTTGCAGGTTGAGAAATGGATGAATGATGCATGATAGAAGAGCTCTATGACCGCCAGCCTTATTCTTTAGGTATGCCTAATGAGAGAGGTGGGTGAATTAGTATGCTTTAACGGTTCAGCCATAGATGTACCTAGCATAATTCTAATTTGGAGGAGTCTATTACATCTTGCGTGTTATTACGATCTGGAACTTGCATTACTCTTCCATTTCTTTACTTCTTTCTGTCTTGGTTTGTTTTACTTTTGCATGCAGGTGACAACTAGGGCGGGTCAAGAACTCAAGATAGAGACAATGCTGCTATTAGGTGATTACTTATTTGTTCCTTTGTCTTTCTTTCAGTGGCGGGTAGTAATAATAATAATTTAAGTGATTAATGTTAGAACAAGCAAACAAATTTAGTTCTAAATCTTTTTTGGGCCTTTTGGTTGTGATTTGATCATTCTGGGGTTCATAGGTGTCTTCTGTTTTTATTGTTTCATTGGTGTGAGAAGTAGGCTTAGTTGTTAAGTCACCATGTACCAACGCAGATATAAAGCATGTTCTTAATGACTTTTGTCCTTTGAGAAGTTTGGATGGTGATTCAATCTTCTAATGATTCTTTCATGAAGTATCCTTCCGGAATTTCAATTACTGTACAAAGTACAATGCATTAGGTGATACATGAAAATCATATTGCTTGAAAAGTGAATCCGACCATAGCTCATGGTTTTACTTTAGTTATCTAATTTAGATGTGATGCTCATATAGACCATGTTCAGATTGATTGCTTTTCTTTTCATTCTCTTATTTATGCTAGCTTTCTGTTGTTTGCAGATGAAATGATAGTTTGCAGTTAGCGCATGTTGAGGAGGTCGAGGTCTTGCGACCAGTCCAGTCAATATTCAATAATCGCTCACAAGATTTCATCAGTGCACTTGAAGTAGTGTATTTTCACTTATAGTTGAACTAGCTTATAACTCGACGGAGGAGCTGAGCTGAATATTAAATCTACGGGTTATCCCAATAATTCAATATTCGGCTCAGTTCCTCCGACCAACGGGTCGGGTTATAGGCTAGTTTTATATTATTTTTCTATAGGTTTTCTCAAAGTTACTCTAAAAATTCTCTAACATTTAATAATTTTCTAATAAATTCTCAAACTACACATGTTTTGGATTGGATTGCTTTAGACAAAAACAATTTGCCTATTGATCGTTTGAGATCTCAACTATCTATGACAGATCGCTTAATGCATCAACAATTTGTGATAGGTCGCATATTAATTGCTTGAAACCTCAATAATCTTACACAAATTGCTTGAAAGTTCATACCTCAATAATCTGCAAATGATTATTTTGGTTAAAAGCGATCAATATATTATATACAAAAAAGAATCAAACGACGATAACTTTGTACACGATTATTTAATCAGCGTGAAATCTTTTTTTTCGCACAACTTTTCAAGATTTTCACAACCGCAAACAATCAAAAGTTGTCTAGCCAATTTTTAACTCCAAATAAGTCCAATCGTTGCCTTAAATTAGCCCCTTTTTTATTTTGCATAACCGTGTGCAATTTTTCACTCAATTACCAAGGATCCATAAGAAAATTGCTTTAGTCGGAAGTAGGGATGGCAACAAAACCCGAACCCACGGGTATCCATCCGACCCAACTCGGTCAACGCGGGTAAAATCCGTGTTGACGGGTTTTGGGCCGGGTTTGAGTTTAAACCCGTCCACTATTTACCGGGTTGGGTTGGGTTGGGTTTGGGTGTAGGTAAACCCGGCCCATGGGTACCCGTCCACACCCATATAATTAATTTTCTCGGTATATTTAATATTTTAAACAACTTATCTTATTTATGTTTGTGGAGACATGTCTAATTTTTTCTTTCTAATTGTGCAGAATGAAGTTGATGTTATCGAGTGGAAAGTGAAGAAACTTAATTGAAAGGAAGAAGCTTTCAATTAATCATGTTATTTATGGATAATTGTGATTGGCTTCAATTTTCTTGAGTTTTCTAGATTGGTGAAGAAACTTAATTGAACAATTTGTATAGTTAATTTATCATTTGCTTGAATTTTCTAGAATGGTGTTTTCTAGATGGATAATTTGTATTGAGAGATTAATATTTGACTTTAATTTTGATAGGAACTGGTTATTGTAAATTTTTTACGACAAAACCCGTGGATACCCATGAACCCGCGGATACCCAGCGGTTTGGGTTGGGTTTGAGTTTTTCAAACCCAATGAGTTTTACCTCGGATTTTTTTCACGGATAAACCCATAGACCAAACCCAAACCAACCCGACCCATTGCCATCCCTAGTCGGAAGTAATCTGCCCAAAATGAAAAAAAAAATCCCTTTATTTGTGAACATCACCGAGCTTCCCTTTTCTTGCAAAATTTCGATTCCTGTCTCCTGACTTCTGCTGTAGGACAAGAGAATCACAATGGCCAAATATACACATAGAAATAAGCTCTAAAATAGAGGATCCATCGTGCTAATTTTACATGAAACCGTGGAATTTGGACTACGCATAAGCACGACCCAATATTACCAGATCAAGTCTCGTCCGTTTCCCTCCTCCAATACACAAACCACATTCTCTAGGTCACTCATATGGCTGTATAGAAGTCATCTTCAGCCTGCTTCTGACCGGCTACAGACAGTATGACGAAGGCACCGTACAGAATGGTGACCACGGCAGTGAAGTTCACAAGCAAAGCCTCGGACCCGTACTTAGCTAGCCCGGAGTTCTGAAGGAATGTCAGCTTCTCAAGGAACCCAATTGCTGCAGTGCCGACTGCCAACACGAATGCAAACAGCCCGAGCAGCACGTGCCAGGGAAGGGACGCGCTCCTAAGGGTGCTCGAACCACCGGGGTAGAAGAAGATGATGAATCCATATATCCACTGCGAAATTCGCAACCCGATTAGTTTTTTTTTTTCTGAATTATGTCAGTTTTCAGCATTGCAACTCTGACTGGGTAGTCCTGATCTTACCTGGATGCCATAGAGGGAAATGACGAGGATGCCAAGCCAGGAATGCAAACTGTAAAGGTTGGCAATGCCACTCTCGTTGTGGAATTTGAATGCCATGTAGATGCCAATGATTCCGAGGATGAGTGCAATGGCATGGAGAACCAGGTGGATGAGTTTCTTCTCTTCTTTCTTCAGAGGGAGAGACCTGTAGCTTATTATAGCTGCATTTTGGATTGGTTAGCACGAAAGTAGTATAGTGCAAGGAAAATGGAAACGAAATTAGCAGCGCATTGGGGAGATACCTTCGCCTCCTATGATAATAAGGCCGATCAACATCAGCACGGGGTGAAGCTGCAGGCGTCGAATTGAACAACAAGATTAGACTCCAGTAAGCATCAAGTGTCAATCAGATACAAATTGAAACCTAACTTCGCCATGTATGAGTGCACAGCATGATATCAGACATCTTATGACCTAAGGAGAGTAACACAATAGGATCCTTCTTGGCCAAATTGATATATTCCCTCTTAAATTTGCAATGGAGGGGTTTTCTAGCAACTCTTAGTTTCACAGACCACTATGTCAATCTGAGTCTAACTGGATGATGGTCAGTGGCAGGGAAAAGAGAGAGAACCTAAGCAAAATTCCAAACTTTCAAATCCCAATTACTCATCAAGTTCTGCAAACTGATAAGGAAAACGGCCTAGTAAGATTATCCCCAATATACGAGCTTAATTAGATAAGGAAAGAGTGAAATGGAAGTGCCAAAAAAATCAATCATGTAAGAGCAAACCATTCGCCCAACAGCAGTCAGCAACCGAATTCATTGACCACAAGTAAGCAAAACCCATATGGAGCTATGATTAGCGATGGCCACTGATTGAAGTTCCAGATTTCGATGAACAGGCAGATGGGAAGAAGACAAACAATACCCACCATCAGAACCAGAAGCATGAGATTCAGGGAGAGGAATTAGTTGCAACTTACATTGAAGATGAGGTTTTTGTTGGTATCCTCCCAAGCTAAGCCGCCTCTGAAGTGGATGCACCAAACCAAAACCATGACTGCAGCCACGACCGCAATCGCGTGCGCCACAAACGTGAAAGGTAACGCCTTCACTGCTAAAGCCATCTTCTCTCTTCTGCTTCTTCTTCTTCCTCCTCGCTCCCCAGAAAGAACAGACAGATGGTGTTGAGAGATAGCTGAGAGACCACAGTAAATGTGTGCACGAGGAGGGAGTGAGTGAGAGAGAGAGAGAAATTTTAAGGTATGGATTTGGGGACTGTGTTCGCCACGTCTCCGATGTTTCTACCAATTATCTCCCAAAAGGGTGGATCGTTGCCACGTGGGTTCAATCGAGTAGCTGAGCTGATAGATAAGAAGAGCCAAGGATTCTGATCCCTTCTGAGAAAGCAATGTAGGCTGTGGAAATTAATGGTTGAACTTGAAGGTGTGGACTGTGGAGAACACAGCAAAAGGATGAAACTCTCGATCGAGAGAGGATCCATCTAGCACATGATTCTTGCAACTCTCGCTTTGTCTGAGGTTTCGCGCGACGACTGTCGATACCACGTCGTTGGGGTAGGTTTCCAGAATGTGAAAGAGAACAAGAATCAAGATGCAGTCACCAGTGACGTCACTGGAGATTGGGCCCATCGGAAATTAATCCAAAGTAATGACAGGTCAGGTTTGGCAATTAGTTTGGGGGGGGGGGGGGGGGGCGGGAAATCCCAACTAGCTTAAGATGGGGGAGTGCAAGGGTTTAGTCGGATCGCACGGGACCAAATTGATGCATTTACGAGAGTCTGAACCATATCGAATTGAATCTGATGTAGTATGATGATGGCTTTCATGAATTTTATAAGTACAAAAAAATGGAATGAATTGCCATTTGGATCGAACAAAATCGAATCGAATAGTCCTGTCTTTAATCTTCAGATGTCTTTCATTATTTGATCGTGGATCGTACTAGTTTAGTCCATACTGTATTGTTGTACACCCCAACCTTAAGAGATAAAGTGAATATAACTTGTCAACCATCAAACCAATTAAATGTAAATAGTAAATTTATAGGAAAATTATTAAATTATTGTATCGAAAATATAAGAACACAAATGATAAATATAAACCCTGACCAAATTTATAATCCAAAAAAAAATTACAGGTGTACAACTCCATAGGCCATTAAAAGCTAAGGCCCCAAAACCAGGCCTGTAATAATGGCCTTGCCTGACTAGGACCTTAGACCAGTTGGTATCCGTATTAGTTTGATGGGAGTTGGTAATTGTCAACCTAACTTTATTGTAATCGCTCTAACTTAAAAGGTAAAATGACCTTTTTATCCTTTTGCTTTTAATTAAGCCCCTATATTGCCATCAAACTCCTCTGCTTCCACTCAGTCGACAACTCCTGGCGATCCTCCGCCTACCCAAGGGGACGCCTTCTGTGAAGCGCATTCCAAACCCTGCTCTCACCTCTCCGTTCTCCGCTGCGGACAAACTCCAAATCGGAACAACAACAACGCGATTGTTGCCATGACTTTTTATAAGTATTGCCATTAATTTAACAAACACCAATTTCTCAACATAAGCATCCAATCACCTGCTTCTTTTATTCTTGGACTTGGTGGACAAATACAGAAGAAGTGCAATTTACAGGCTTTTAAGAAATGCTTTGCCCATCTTTCACCCGACGGAAACAACGAAAACTTATCCCTACTCCCTTGATTCCACTGTTAGATTAATCTCTGTTTGTTTTGGAGACCGCCGACCAATTGTAAGTTGAAGGATTCTGTTGACACCCACCGTCGTCTGGTTTGGTTGACCTTCATTCGCTTCTTCCAGGGCTCGAGGTTGCGGCATCGTGTAGTAGGAACGAGTCAACGGCGGGGGAGAATGAATGTCGGCAGAGTGCAGGGGAGGAAGATGCTGACGGGTGATTAGGGATTTGAGGGACAATTTAGTAATTTGACTATTTTGATTAGGGCGATAATAGTAAAATTAGGGCGACGTTTAGCCATCCAGTTTGATTAGGGCTATTGGCTCGTCAAAATGGGCTTGACATGGATAGAAAGCTGGGTAGGCCGCTTTCATATATATGCTGGATTTTGGGCTTTGATACCTCTCCAAATATAACCCACAAACGTTTTATCAACTCACAAGGGCTAATTCCACCAATGTTAATCAATCAAACTGCTCATGAACAATTCAGTGTCTGATTCGAGAAAAATTCATTCAATACTCGATCCGTCTTTAACTGAGTCGGTCATGAACAAGTTTGTTTGTAAACGAGCCGAGCTCGAGCCATGATATATTATACTCGATAGGCTCGCAAGCAAGCTCAAAATCTTTTAAGTGTTTGTTGTTGGTGTTTTGTGATCGAACTCGAGGTTGAGCTACAATCGACATTTTATCAGTTGAACTTTAATTTTGCTCGTTAATCTCATTTGACGAGCCAAACTCGAGCTTTTATTGTAAACGAGCCGAGCTCGAATTTGCCTATTAAATCTCGTATCGAACTCAAGCCGAACTCGAACTTGAAATTATTTAAACGAGCCAAACCCAAACCATGACAATCCTCGGCTCGGCTCGTTTACAGCCCTAATTCCATCCAAATTCCCAAAAATACCAACTAGACGAACCGTAAGTTACACACTTACACAAGTGAATATAACTTACACCTAGTACCAAGATATATCGTTTAACAATTATTTTAACCAATGAAGCTACAACACACGCACAAATCAGAGATCAACTTCGGATTAGAGTTTAAGGACTCCCACCCCATGTATAGGATTTCCAATGGGCAATGGAGCACCTAAACAAGGACACAGGACCTACTGACTTTAAGGGCACAAGCAAAAGGTGTTCACAAAAGGACGCAATCATTTTTTTTCCAACTTTCCATCATTTTCAAGCGTGAAGACAGCCACGATGTTGGCATCAATGATTCAAGCATTTCTTCCTCGCCATCTATTCTAAGTTCTAACACATTCATTCTTCCACCAGAATCCAATGGCTCTCTCCCTATTTCACCTTCCTCTCATAAAAATGTGGTCTTCTTCCCCACTAACGATAAAATACTAATTTCCCCGCCCATGACAACTCTCTCTGGGCCACTCGAGCTACTACCAAAGGAAAAAATACAGAAAGCCAATGATTATAAGAACCTTTTGCTTTCCTACTCACATACTTATCGTCTTCCTAGTCAACAGAATCCACTAGTTTGGTAGTGTGAGGCAGCTATGCAGATTGCAGAAGGTATGCAAGCCACTAACGTCCAATTTTTTGCATTATGATCTTATACTGGGGAGATGTAGGTTGAAACAGTATAATATGGTTGGCTCACTCAAAATAATCAAAAACCCTTCTTAAATGGGGAGGAATATGGTGGGTGCTGATTTTGTATTATATCACAAGAAGGGAGAGAACATCAGTGAGACCATATTGAATGGATTGGGACTGGAAGGCATGGAAATGCATTAGAAAAATCAGTGGGTTGAACTGTTGTCCTCAATCACAATCTGGCTAGTAAAGAAGCAATGGGCAGCGAAACTGGCCCTGTACAGAAAGCTAGCGGGTAGCTTTCCTGGCCGAACCCCGTGTGTTTGGTTTGGCAGTTAAAGAGAGCAAGCTATGGTAACAGTAACAGCAGAGCAAAATGGGGAAAAGGCTAATAGGAATTGAGATGTAATTAGTAAATTAGCAGTTGCAGTTGGGTAAAGGGAAAGAAGCATGGCGTGTACCTTATAACCATCATGAAGCTTCAGCTGAGGCCGTTTCCGGGACGAGTTGACTCGTGCGATGTAGAGATATGCAGCAGATTCCCTTTATTACGGCTCTGACAGTAAATGGTGTAGTACCGTTGGTAGTTGACTTCATCCTGTGTGAATGTTCAGCAGTGAAAGAACAGATAAGTTCACTCGAAGTGGGGAAAAAAGACCCATCTCGATTAAGTAAAAGACACAATAAAGAAAACCCAGGTGAGATCCCTGATCCCACGCACGTATTGTATTCGTTGTCTATGACTATGAGTACATGAAGAAACCTGGCTTTGTTTTGTGTAATTGGATCGAGATAATAATCATCAGATTAGGGGTAAGCAAGCAGGAAAGAGAAGGTGGTCATGGCACATGTGACCACGTGCTTTAACATAATAACAGGCCAACTTGAGTGTTGTTTTGACCACAAATAATGCAACCAAGCCAAAGATGGGGCAGGCCTTTTTTCTAATATTTTGCATTGCTGGAACACGATGAGGATGTGCTGCAGCTTTGCGGAAGGTAAAGGCATCCGGTGCCTTTTCTGGGGCCGACCACGTCTCTATAGGAAGAAAAAAAAAATTAGGTGCAAGGTTTACTGGATTTTTTTGTCCAATACTTACACCGTCTGGAATTGGATCATACATTTTATGACCCATAACATGTATGATTGTCACCACATGTATCCAACGATTATGAATCAGATCACAAGAATCAAAATCGAATAACATGATTTTAGTTCTCTAACTACACCAACCTCGGTTTTTGGCATCTTTCAACAAACTCCTATTATTTTGGCAGGTCTCAACTCCGAACTGATCATGGCCATAATGGCCATCTACCAATTAAACTACAATAGACAGTAACTGAGGAATCTTTAGAAAACTTTGATGGACCATAATGGCATAATCCTAATCTCTTGACTACTCGCTCTGGGCCTTTCACGCAGAGCAAAACATGTTTCAGCGCAATTATTGGGGACAGTATATACGGATGAATGCAGTTGCGTCAATTAAATGGTGGGGGGTAGCTGGTTGGAGAAAAATACCTCTCTTGTGTGGGACGGTTGAGCTCGACTTTAAGAGGGCACACTTTCTTTCTGTGTAGTGTCTGAATGAAATTCTTTGCCTCCGACACATTGGCATCCCTGTCGCCGATGATGCTCTAGGGAGGGATATATATGAGATTTCACCAGGAGACCTTGAGGTGGCAGATGGAGATATATCGCCGAAATGTAGGGTCGTTGGTGTCTTTAATCTCCAGCTCCTAGTAGTAGTACTTTCCTGCATTAAAAAGAAAACCAAGATCCATAGCCATAAAATAACAATTGGGAGCAAATCCAGCTAGTTTTGCGCAATAATACACACACGATATGGCAATAAAGTCAGAGGGAGAGAGAGCCCTTGTCCTTTTTTTAGTTGGTTTTAGTTTTCTCATACTGTAACGGGTTCTTTTTACAAACGTAATTAGACAAACTGAGCTATAGTTTAACAGAAGCCACAAAAGGACATCACCTGCCGTCTTCTTCTCCTTTGCTTTCCCCCTGTGCTTTCTGGACTATTACCCAGTTGCTCGCGAAGAACCAGGCATTGTTTCTGCGCCTGGCCGTAACTAAGATAAAAATCTGTCAGACAGAAGTTCCCCAGGTGGGTGAGCCTTTTCATGAGGATTCTTTGAGGAAGCCCAGAATAAGGCGTGGAAGCCTGAAAGGGAAGGAAACATGTTTAAGTCATGGAGGAGCAAGGAGAAGAAGTTCAAAGCTGTGTTTCAGCTGCAGTTTCAGGCAACCCAGGTATGAATCCATTAAGAAGAAAAAACAGTTTCTTGCTGCCGAATCTCTAGTGGGTTTTTGCTCAGGTCTAGTCAAGATGGATATTCTAGTTTATGCATAGTTGTAGAATGAGTTAATCTGATCCAGTGATTTGAGTGACTTACTGTCGCACTGGTTCTGCAAACGGCATTTCTCAGGTGCCACAGATGAAGAAGCCTGCTCTGACTGTGGCTTTAGTGCCGGAGGATGTTGGGAAGCCCACATTCAAGTTGCAGAAAACTGCAGTTCAAGATGGCAACTGCTTGTGGGAGAATCCTATATATGTGACAGTTAAACTCGTCAGGGAGCCCAAAACAGGAAAGCTGCACGAGAAAATATATCACTTCATTGTTGCTAGTGTAAGCCATGCTTCTGCACTTACCAGTCGTATTGTATCTTCCTCTGCTTGAAGCTTGACTCCTGCTGACAATTTTTGCAGGGATCAGCCAAGAAAGATTATCTTGGAGAATCTTCAATTGATTTTGCAGATTTTGCTGACGAAAATGAACCAATGACTGTTTCTCTGCCACTGAAGTTTGCAAATTCTGGTGCAGTTTTACATGTATGCTCCGCTCCTTCTCGCACAAGAATTACATGTTTACAACCAGAAAATTACTAATTCTGTATTTTGTCTTTCGCTCCAATCGAACCATTTTCCACTCATAACAAACTCATATTTCTGCATCAATGAAACAGATAACAATTCATAAGATTCAAGGAGGCATCGATCAGAGGTACACACAAAACTGATAATGCTCTTTTTCTTCTGATCTCTACCGGACTTTTACTTGCACACTTGACCTGAATTGCTTTCCTATATTAATATGCAATTCTGTGAAAGTATTTCAGAAACAGGGCAAGCAATGGAGAAGCAGCACTACATCAGGATGAAAGGTTGATGAGCCTATCGAGCAATGATCGTTCAGACATAGATGACAAGAATTTTGCAGAAGTAGGTTTAAATGATCCATTTTTTAATGTCATACACTAGCAAATCTTTAACATTTTATTATAGACGGATGATGTATCCTGCCATGTCATACTGAAGTACTAATTTCATTGTTGTCATGGAAGCAGGACATAGATGACTTTGAAGAAGGGGACAACTTCAAAGCATCCAATGGCTCTAATGAAAGCAGCTTCAAGTCAGTTGGAAGACAAAACTCAATGCCTCAGAGGGCATCGGTTGATGCAAATTCAACAACAACAAAGAACCGCCTACACAGACGATCTAGCACAGAATGGTCAATGGCCTCGGCATCAGATGAAAGTTTAGTTGATTCAACTAACAGCCCTGGTGATGATAATAATGTTCCAAAACAGTTCCATGAAGCTAGAGATGAATCCATTCAGAAGCTTAAAAGTGAAATCTTTGGTCTCATGCGTCAGTCAGAGTTATCAGATATGGAATTGCAGACTCTTCGGAAACAAGTAACGAAAGAGACCAAAAGAGCACAAGATTTATCAAGAGAGATGATGGACATTAAGGAGGAGCGAGATGCACTGGAGAGAGAATGCGAACAACTCAAGTTCTCGAGGAAGACTGTAGAAGCAGAGGCTCTGGACCGAGTAAAGACATCAAATGAAGGGTCAAGGGTGAAGATAGAAGAGATGAGGAAGGAGCTTGCCCACGAAAAGGAGTTGAAGGTCAATCTCGAGTTGCAGCTACAGAAAACACAAGAATCAAATTCGGAATTGATTCTGGCTGTGCAGGACCTTGATGATATGTTGAAGGGGAAAAGCATGGAAATATCTATGCTTTCCAGCAAGCTAGAAGAATCAAGTCAGCAGGATAAAGAAGTTTACTGCCAAAAGTGTAGATGCAACACAGAAACCGATGAATATCAAGATGATACCACTACCAGAGAAGCGCTGAAAGAACAGATAACTGACATGTCCGATGAAATAGAGGCCTACAAAGAGAGCAGGGAAAGGCTGGAGAAGTACATAGAGCAACTCACACAAGATTATGAGGACCTAAAACAAGAAAACCTTGAGATAACCTCTGAGTTAGAGGAGAACAGGGAACAAAATTTGAAGGCACAAAATGAACGCTCTGAACAATTAGCGACTATCAAAGAACTTGAATCACAGCTAAGGAGAGTAGAGCAGAAGATGAGAGATCAGACAGAAGAGCAGTCTGAATCATTGCTCCATATCAATGAACTTGAAGGTCAAGTCAAAGCATTGGAGAAGGAACTTGAGAAGCAGGCAGTGGGATTCGAGAAAGATCTGGATGATTTGACCCAGGCCAAAATCGAGCAGGAACAAAGAGCTATTCGTTCAGAAGAGGCCTTGAGGAAGACAAGGTGGAAAAATGTTGTAACAGCAGAGCGTCTCCAGGAGGAATTTAAAAAGCTTTCACAGGAAATGGCCGCAAAAATTGAAGACAATGAGAAGCGTATGACAAGTGCTCAAATGGAATCAGACAAGCTCCGGGAGCAGAATAGGATCATGGAAGAAAAGCTTAACAAAGCTTATGAAGAGATTGCAGTAATTAGAGACCAGAACAAAGTGCGAGTGGAAGAGCTATTGACTCAACTTGATCTCAGGACAAAAATGATGGAAGAGATTTCATTGGAAGTAGAAGAAAAGTCGATGCAGCTGGAAAGTGAGCAGAAGCAAGGAAAAGGAAGGCAAGAAGCTTTCTCTAAGGAAATTCAAATGCTCAAAGCTAAAATAGAAGCACTCACAACAGGAGACACCTCCAAGCAGGCATCACTTGGAGAAACAGCAATAGAGATTGGAAGACAGAGCAAAGGAAAAAAAGAATTGGAGAGAAAATATACATCAGCAAAGCAAGAAGCAGAAAAGGTTCGAAAAGAGTTGGAAAACATGAGGTCGTTGAAGGATGAAAGGGAGACAATGCTGAAGAGGCTACAGCTGGAAGTAGAAGGACTGAAAGATCAACATAATAAGTTCATATGTAGCCTGTCAGAAGAGGAGTTAGAGAAAGAGAACCTGCGGAAGCAAATCCTTCAATTGAATGGGGAGCTACAGAAGAAGGAATATGATCTCTTGCTCTCAGATAATGAAGCCGTTGATAAATGGTAAAGTTTACCCCCTTTGCCTCTGAACTTATGATGGGTTTTTTGCGTGCATCAATAGGCCAGTTGTTAGTCCAAATTTCTATGCAATCAGACTCGGCACTTCGAATAGCTGCCTTGCATAAGTAATCCTCTCAATACTTTTTTTCTACAGGAAAGCAAAGACACGCACAGAGCAACAACTGAAAAACTGCAACCTGACAGAAATGCTGGATGAGATGGCACAGATCAAGGAAAGGAACAGACGCATGGAAAGTGAATTGAAAGAAATGGAGGTGAGATATTCGGATATAAGCCTCAAATTTGCTGAGGTAGAAGGAGAAAGGCAGCAGTTGGTCATGACTGTACGTAACCTGAAAAATGGTAAGAAGACCTAAAAGGAAATTCCTGCTGTAAGACCAGTAAACAAATGTTGAGTGCTGCTCCTTCCTTACTATTCCATGGCGAGAGCAATCAACCAGTTTCTCTGGCATCAGGACCCGAATTTTACAAATTGATAAAATCGTCAGGGAAAATGCGTTCATAAAGTATATGTTTTCACATCATGCAGGCATTGTTCCTTATAGAGGTTGAAGTATCAACATCGGTCCTCTAAAATGCAAAAATCAGCCTGCTACAGATGTACAATTTGAAAGTTAATATATGAGAGAGTTTCAGTGTCTTGATATTTCCATTTGATCAAAGGAGAGCGTATATTTTGATTTTTTATAACTGTAATGTAGCATATAATTAAACATAAGTAGGCTCAATTGATACAGAAGTCGGGATATTTTTATTGCAGAGAACCAACCTCCATTTTTAACAATGTTGATCCAAATAAATCTGTGTTGCTACCTATTTGCTGAACGAACTTTCACTATTGATTCCGCATCCTTTTGTTCAAACGCCTCACACCACCATCAGTCCATACTAGCCTAGTTTGACTTCCACTACCATTATTTGCAAATGACAGTGTCTGCAAAATATTAAGTTTGACAACATGGTGAGGAAACATTCTGTAAAAAGAAGAGATAATGATATCTAACAATCAGCTGACCAAAAACAAGAGAATGATTTGCACCAGCTAAACAAGTGGAACTTCATATCACCTGTTTTTCCCTTCGTTAGATAGGAGTCCTTATTGGAGAGAGTGATACCTGAACTCTCCCAATTCTTGATGCGCTTGATGACCAAGTAGGTGGCTTCTGCTTCATGGGTCCAGATCTTCTATCGCGAGTGTGGTGTCCTTGGTACTTGAAAAAGTTGACGACAGAAGGGCTTTTCCTCTTTGTGCCTTTAGATACATCTATTGCATAGCCCAGAGCGGCAGGAGATATATCGCTTTGCAAGGAAAGCTTCCGCAATCTGCTCCTCTCTCTGATGCCACTAAGAAACTCCATCGTCCATGGTGAACTAGTCTGAGGTTCAGAGGAATGAGTGGCTATAGACAGTGGTGTTTCACTGTGTACGTTTCTAGAGAGTGATGATGGGCCAGAATTTGGCATCTCTTCTGGAGGCAACCTAACAGAACTTCCTGCCCGACTTCTTTGTGCTGGAAACTCTTTCAGGTCAGTGCTCTGGTCTTCTGAAGATAATTTCCATTGATTATAAACATTATCATAGAAACCTTTAAATTCTTGTGAACTGCTTTCGCCGTGATCCTTAAAAGACTCCCAGAGGTCTGTTTCAGGATTAATCTCACTGGCCGTTGGGAAACTAAATAGACTGTTCCCGCCATATGCCAGTTTACTTGCAGCTTTAGGTCTGGTAATAAGATCTTGATCTTCTTCACGCAACCATGATCGAAAGTACACTGATTTTTTCGCTGGAGGAATCTCATTCTCCGATGAGGAACTATTAGTGAGGTCAAGGATGTCCCCCATGAAGTCCTTACACCGGTTCTCATTGACATCAGATCCCTAGTTTTGACCCAATAACGGATTCAGAGACATCCCTCTGTTGGGCAACTTGTCCATTACCTTTGCAGCTCTTGAGTGCTGAGGAGCATCATATGGTTTTGGCACACCGGAAGAATCGAAAGCCACATTAGCATTTGATTTTTGCTTATGACCAGAAAAGTCTGCCAAATGTGATATAGACTGTCTCAGCTCATCAAGAATCTCCTTTACATCAGGCGTCCAACAATCCTTTTCGTCCTCTAGTTGAAACTGCCACTCGCCCTCCATGCATGTATCCATCTTTGGAGGGCTATGGACATATTTCCTTCGCTTTCTCTCAGAATGTGGACTCAAATGATATTTGTCGGAGTTTGCTGCAGATGAAATGGAGGAGATGGAGTCTGTCAATGCAGATTTAGAATCCTCCCTCTCGCCATATTTGCACAACTGCACAAGGCACTAAACAGTGATATGCTTTCGTCAGGAATACGATGCTGTTGGAGGGCAAGGATCCTACGCTCATTAGAGTATTCAAGAAACTCGACTAGTGTCCCTCCAAAAGACAGCATTGCATGAGCTGTCAGAGGATTAATTGAAGGGAACTTGGTGAGGAATGTTTCTGCAATGGTTTCTGATTCAGGCATTTTAGGACATATGCTCCTTGACGCCTTGGTTGCATGTAAGACACTGCTCAAAATGATTTCACTGGTCAACTCTGATGAGTATGAACAGAAAATCTGTAAATCTATTCCAAGGCCTGCTGCTGCGGCATAAAGTCCAGAACTTGAGTTCCCCCTCAAAGACCTAACGTGGAAAAAAAAAAATGAAACCAGAACTTGAGTTCCAGAAACTTACAAGTACGTAACATAGCATTTTCATAGCATGGCCACACAACAAAAAACCCATTGCAAAAACTAAAGGTTGTTCCTTCTTGATGTCACTGCCTGAATCATATTCTGGTCTCAGTTCCTAAATCCGTCAAACTAGTGACAGTTCAGCATACAGATTGAACGAGTAAAAGGGATCCCCTACAGTAGGTAGCAGAAATTTTGGAAATCTAGTAAAAAAGATTTTGTAATAATAAAGACAATGTCTTGAGAACCACATTCAATGTGCAGTTATCAAAAAAATTCAAATGCCTTCTGTGATACTTTTAACATACTGGCTGAAGGGATCAAACAAAAGGAGTGAAACAAAATGTTTAAGCAATTACCAGAATGCAGCCACTGAAAGTGAAACTCAACAAGGTTAGAACGTGTGTGGCAATATTCTCGATGCACAAACGAAAGCCTGATTCGTCAAAAGTGGTCGCATTCTTTCTTATAGTTCTGCAGTCATACCAGGCCAGGCACATGGCAGAATTCATCAGGACGTCGACAGGAAGATCTATGTCACGTTCTACAACTTCTTTTCCGTCCTTTTCCATTGCTGGAATCTTATTATATACGCTTCTTCTGGACACTATCATTTCCTTGTCAAAGTTTTGAGTATTCACAACAACGACAGTAACGGGGCCAGAAACATTACTTCCTTGAGTACACTTAGAGTTAACTGCACTAGGAACAAAAGGATGCAGTGTGGATACTTGATCTGTCGCCTCTGAAGGACCTTTCTCTGTCATAATCCATAGGTATGGAGTTCAGTTGTTCATTCAGACTCAGTTGGCCCATACTTTCTGCCCGATTGAAAACTTCTTCCTAGGATAAGCACAATGCAGCACTAATCAAGTTTCTGTTGTATCTGTCACATGGTGCAGGAAATGATAACTCAAAAGTTAATGAAATCTAATACAAGAGTAGGAAGATGCTATCATTCACACGCTTTACATTAACGATTGCAAATATTCAAGGTATACAAGAAATGTTATCAGTTAGAAATGACGTTTCCTTGGGTCATGTATGAATCAGTTTATTGTCAATACTATACAAGAAATCCGATTTTGAAGAATTTTACCTTAGGAAGCAAGGGAGGTATATTGGATTCCTTAACTGCTGGCTTACTTCTTTCCTTAGCAGTTGCTTTCCCAGGATTCAAGAAAAGATCAAGATCATTCAATTGCGACATGAACTTGAACAATGCTGAAGCCTTACCGCCATTTTCCGCATCCAGTTGTCTAAGCATTGATGGTTTTGGGAACTTACCACCTGGGCACATACTTGAAGAGCCAGGCAAGCCTTCAGGAAGAAGAATAAGTGATTCCTGATATTCGTCCGTCTTGAACAAAGTAAAATCAGAAAGTATAAAATCAAGTATTGGCTTTCCATCTTCAGATAATTCCATATCCAGATTTCTGGTGTGAGAATCCAAATCCTCCAAACATGAATATTCCAGCAGACAATTCTACAGTTGCATATATCACCATATAGAAAATGCCAATCCAAGTAAATATCATTAGATGCAGAAAGGGGATGTTCCTTTAGTTCCGTGAGCATTTCTTCAAGGTATACATTGATTTTATCCTATCTTGGTCGGAAAGAATCAGTGCAGGCAATGTTCTGAAAGTGCTATCTATCAGAGCCAGCTCAGAAGAAACAACCAATTCATTCAAATTCCTGAACTTCAATTCTTTCTGAATCATCAGGTCGCAATTTTCTGATTCAATACTTTTTTTCATGTTGAAGAAGATCTCGCAAAGTTGAGATGAGTGTGTCCCCACAAATTCAAGCTCCTCAAAAGTGATAGGCTCTGTTGGAAAAGAACAGACAGCAGAGCCTTCTTGATAACATAGGGTGTCCACTATGGTTATATTGTCCACTAGTAGCATCGAATCAGAGGATATGACCTCAGAGTTTATGCACTCCTTTGATATACAATGGTCAGAAGGAACCTCAAAAATATCACACTTCACAGATCCAAAGGCCTCCATCTCATTACTGGCAGTCTGGGTCTCCATGCTTTCTAGCAATGACAGAAATCGGTGTTCCTTAAGGAAGTCTGTGATAGTTCTAAGATTAGTTTCATGATCTTCTAAAGTAGGGAATAAGTTGTGATTTGAGGATGTCCGCCCCTGCATGGAACCATCATCTTCACATGTATAGGGCATTTGGTTGATGTCATACTCTAAAGAGACATCAACGACTGAATAAATTGATTCCTGAATCTTGTGATAATGCTGCATTGGAAGCCCTGGGATGGGCAGGTCCTGCAAGTCAAAAACAAAGGGAATTGTCAACAAGGTGCGTATTTCGTTGAGCATCCAGGACCAAGAACCCACAAACTAAAAAACTTAGCAGAGGAAAAGGCTGATGAAAAAAAATCGTGTGTTTTAAGTATCACCTGTTAAGCCTAAAGGAATCGACTACCTGTTGTGAGATTATATGACAAGAAAGTAAACATGAATGATGAATCAAATAAACATAAATGCAAACCCTGCAGGATATTAGAGAGTTTATTTTACTTATCCCCTGAGTGTTCCCATCCACTGATAATAATGGAACCCACAAGTGATTCCAAACGAACACAACGAGCAGGACAACAGAGAATATCCTAAAATGAATAATCCCTCAGAAGAACACAAGCTAACGTTCTTGTCTTTTAGAGAAGCATTGATCGGAGACAACCAAACATAACAAATTTACAACTCAGTGAGGAAAATCCATCACCAATAACCAGCAAAAGAAAAACTCAAAAGGACCAACTAACCAAAACACCAAGTTCACTAGATGGCACAAACACTGAAACGGAGCATGTAAGGCTGATGAGGATTCCAACACATCAGAATCTGATTCCAATCAAAGACATTATGATTAAAGCTGGCGTGACATGCTCATATAGTTACCAGCTTATTATCAGTGTATGAAACTTCAGAAAGACATTGCAAACCCTTCACGGACGAGTGTCTCTCCCCCTGCAGTCATTCAACCAATATGGATGAATTTACAAACTTCATACACAAGCACTTTCGATCTATCCGGATAATTGATTTCTGAACTACCAACTTACCACAAATGCATCAACCTCTGGTGCTTCAAACAGGATGACTTCATGACCCTCTGTGCTCTCATCTGCCACAAAATTGTTGTCCTCCTCCTGCAATCAAATTGCATAGAGTTCTCTACCAGTTAACAATCATAATAATGAAATTTACAACATACTGTGTTTCTCTCAGTAACTTATGATCTAATTTCGTAGTTGTGGTCAGATCTCTTGGCTCCCCTTGCAAAATAGATCAAACTGCGTCCACTGAACGGGATACAAAAGACATTTCATGTAACATAATTACGACTTCCGCCTATCTTTCTCAGAACTAAGAGTACTTCAATCACTTGTTTAATTTGAACTTCCATTCTCACAGCTCGAGATTCAAATTGGCATCACAGACTGTACAGAAAAGCATTCATGCAGGCGATCATTCGAAGTGTACTGAAATCTACCTTGTGGAGTCTGTTCTGATCACTTCTGAGGACGAATGCCCAAAGCTCGCCGGCTGAACCTCGTCCATCTTCTCCACACCACACATCTCCGAAATTTGCAGTATCAACGAATTGAGGCACTACTTCCAATAAACCTCAATATGGCAGCTTCGATAGGAAATTTCCCGATCTCGAGCGCAAAAGCAGCGATGTCTTCGCAGCCATGGAAATCCTCCTCCTCATTGAAGAGACGCGGAGTAGCGAGGTCAGAAACCGGGAGCTCAACGATACTTAGGGTTTCGACGGAAGAAGACGAAGACGAAGACGAACAAGAGCTGAACTAGTCTATGCTCAGGAAACGAGTTCGCATTTCCTCGCCCAACCGAAACGCACCAAGTCGACTCTGCGAGATTGGGAGGGACGAGGGAGAGAGAGACCTGAAAGAAGAAGCGAGAAGATTGGACAACGTTCTGCTCTTCCAGAAAACGAAATCAAAATTCGCGCCATTGCTCTGTAAATCGTGACCATTTTATATTAAATTCGCGCCACACTATAGAATTAATAAATTATAGCATGCCAAATTAACAAAAAGGTCGTTGACTCGTTGTAGTATAGTGGTAAGTATTCCCGCCTGTCACGCGGGTGACCCGGGTTCGATCCCCGGCAACGGCGTCGTTTTAAATGTTTTTTTTCAGCCTCCCAGGCTCCCACTTGCCTTTCTATTTCTCCTCTCAATGAATGAACATATTACATATGGCGGGCAGATTAGGGCCGTTGGATGGTGTTTTGAACTATGGTAAATTAAAATCCAGCCATTAGTTTCAAGATCCTATAGAGTTCTTAAGTCATTGTTTGGATCGATTTGGATAGAAATCTAATCATTATAAGAGAATAAAATTTATAAACAAAATAATAACCCCATCTTTATTATAAAACAACTTAATAGGTTAACAAAAGGGTTAATAATTTATTTTGGTCCGAACTTTGACCATATAATCAATTTTGGCTCGTGGTTTCAGAAATTAACATCCTGACCGCACACTATGCAGCATATAGACTCAATTGGCCCGACACATAGTTTGACCGTCAATTTGGATGGTCAACTCTGTTGACCGTTAGTCAACATGTCATGTCATTGCCTAGTCAGCCTAAAAATCATTAAATAAATTTAAATTCAAATTATTTTCCTAATTTCTATTATTTATCATTTTCCAATTAACCAAAAAATAAAATTCTAAAAATATAAATAATTTTTTTGGGATATTTGAAAATGATAATTTTATAAATTAACCAAAAAATATCAAATTAAATTTTATAAATTTAAAAATTATGATATAAATTATATTTTTGTGGGAAGTTTTAAAAATATAAAATAATTTGATAATTTTTGGTTAACTTATAAAATTTATCATTTTTCAAATTATCCAAAAAAATAAAAAATCAAATTTATTTTTTTTATAATTTTTTTTGGTTAATTTGATAATAAATAAATAAAAATTGAGAAAAAAATTTTGAATTTGCATTTTTATAATGATTTTTAGACTGACTAAGCAATGACATGGCGTGTTGACTAATGGGCAACGGAGTTGACCATCCAAATTGACGGTCAAACTATGTGTCGGGCCAGTTGAGTCTATATGCTGCATAGTTGAGGCCAGGATGTTAATTTCTGAAACCACGGGCCAAAGTTGATTATATGGCATAGTTCGGGCCAAAATAAGGTATTAACCCTTAATAAAACAATTTAACATACAACTTATTAACTTTCTTTTCATCTGGTCAATTATTTTTATTTTTTTTTGTCAAAAGATATCATATATTGATCCAAAATAGATAGTTACAACTTGGACACCAGCCAGGATCGGAAATCAAAGAAGCGACTCACAGTCGGATACAAGGAAAGGGCTTTTCTAGCTACCGAATGAGCTACCCTATTGTTCTGCCGACCTATAAATCGCACATTAAACCCAGGATGGGGCGCAATGATAAAGACCTATCTCTTCCAGGACAGCACCCCAACTGGTTATCCCTAGTGTCAGCTTGATTAATTTTCTCAATAATCACTTTCGCATCGCCCTCAAACCAGACCGCCGACAAGCCACACTCCGAACACCAGATAATCGCCTCCCTAAGCACAAGCAATTCCACCACAGAAGGCTCATCCACTTGAGGAAACTGAACCCCCTTCGCCAAAAGGAGCGTCTGCGCCGAGTCAAAAAGAACCATCCCACCAGCCGAATGCGACCCACTCCTAGTGGCCCCATCCCACATGCAAACCAACCGAGAGTTACCCTAATGAGATACCGGCTGTACCCGCGGAGTAGACCCCCTAGGAGGTTGGTCATTTGGCAAGCCAATCAATTCCTCATATTGTTGGTTAAATTGGCGCATAAGAGCAGGGATCCCAAATTGTTTGCCTTCAAAGACAACCCAGTTACGAGACCGCCAGATCCGCCAAAGGATGGAAACTATAGCCATGAACAACGACGGTTGATGGATCAGCGCCAGCAGACGTTTCAGAAATAACGGAAAGGTGTGCCGAGGCAAACCCTCCCCTAAGTATTCCAGCCCTGAATAGTCCCAGAGAGCCCGCGCAACCGGACAATAAAGGAACAAATGTTCCATCGTCTCCGGGCCATCCCAGCACACTGGACACCGGGGAAGCACAGGGACCTTCTTTTCCAAGAGCGCCTCAGTAGTAGGAAGAGCTCGATTGAGAATTTGCCAGACAAAGACCTTCAGCTTCGGGGGGATCTTAGCCTCCCACAAACGGATCCAACTCGGCTTATCCATCCAACTAACCGAGGATCGCCACCCACCCCTCCTCCTATCCAAATCCACAGCCAAATGGTAAGCTGACTTTACTGAGAAAACTATGTCCGTCGTGTTATGCCAGATAAGCTTATCAGCCACATTCTGCCGTGGAAGCGGAATAGCTTTAATGGTACGGCAGGTAGACGGATCAAACCATTGACTAAGCTTGTCCTCAGACCAATGCCCTTCCCCTTCACAAATAACCTCCGCCACCGAGGGATCACCCCCGTTAGGCAAGATCATCGGGTTATAGCGAGGAGGATCCAACTGAAGGCCAGGTATCCAGTTAGAGTGGAGAAAGGAGGCCGATCGACCATTGCCGACCTGCCATCTTAACCCTATCTCTAATAACTGGCGCCCATAGAGGATACCCTGCCGCCCCCATGAAGGCCGAGATCGAGTTGTCACCCCCAGAAAATTTCCTTGCGGGAAGTACTTCCCTTTATACACCTGGGCAAGAAGGGAAAGAGGTTCATTGAGAATAAGCCAGCCAATCTTTGCTAAAAGGCTTGGTTAAAATGTTCAAACCGGCGAAACCCCATCCCCTCATCATTTTTACTCCTGCACATATTGCGCCAAGATACCCACCTAACCTTTGGATGGCCCTCATCCGCACCCCACCAGAACCGGGCCACATGTCTATCCAAAAGCCGGCAGAGAGAGAGAGAGGGGTAGCCGGAAGCAATAAACTTAACCAATGTTTCCTTTGCCACCTAGGACAGAGTCCTCTGCTTCCAGACTGATTGACTCTCATCTGGCAAATGAATTATTGAGTCAAAAAATTTGGCGACGTGCTCATGTGAAACACTGTAAGGATGAGTGATCTTATGGGAAGTCACCTTGATACGCACACCAAGGCAAAATTCGTGAGGGCTCGACCCAAAGCGAACAATATCTTGTCGGGAAAAGGTTTGGGTTGTTATAAGTGGTATCAGAGCCTCTCTGCATTCCTCTTGAATGATGGTGGTGCAAATCTCAACGAGAGCGTTGAGTCCCAAAAGGGAGGTGTACGTAACACCTTAGGCGATTCCCACATTGAGAAAGCACATGATAGACCCATGGTTCATAAGTAAGAAATCGGCCTAACTGACAAGACTCTAAAGTTAAACGTGCTCGTTGTGAAGCACTGTAAGGATGAGTGATCTTATGGGAAGTCACCTTGATATGCATTCCCAGGCAAAATCCGCAAGGGCTAGACCTAAAGTGGACAATACCTTGTCGGAAAAAGGTTTGGGATGTTATAAGTGGTATTAGAGCCTCTCTGCATTCCTCTTAAACGATGGTGGAGCAAATCTCAACGAGAACGTTGAGTCCCAAAGGGAGGTGTGAGTACTAAAGGGAGGTGTACGTAAAACTCTAGGCGATTCCCACATTGAAAAAGTATAGGAGAGATCCATGGTTCATAAGTAAGAAACGACCTTAATTGACTAGACGCGTTTTGTGGTGAAATAGAGGAGTTATTGTGAGAACTCCGAAGTTAAACGTGCTCACTATGTAGCACTACAAGGATAGACGACCTTATGGGAATGAGAAGTCATCTTGATATGCACCCCAAGCCAAAATCCATGAGAATCTGAACCCAAACAAGGATATCTTGTTGGGAAAAGGTTTGGGTTGTTATAGAAAATTTATAGTGGTACACTTCAATGCTCTGATTTTTTATAAGGTGGTGTAATGTTACTGATCCTATAACAATTATCCAACATATACCATATACAATTATCTAACATATACACGCACTCAACAACCATACACACTATTGAATAGGGTTGAAACCATGTCTTAATCGTCACTGATGCTATAACAATTTTGTCTGACCCGCCTCTATAGAGTCAATTTATAAAACTTACCCACCTTGTCCCTGTTCCTATTTTACTCTGTCTGACCCAATCCTAGAGGGTCGGTCTGTCGACTCAAATCAATCAACACAATATTTTAAAAACATTTATTTTAGTACTCAAATTTATCTTTTTACAATTTATTACCTAAATTTATATTGTTTACAAATAGCTCCATAAAATTTGGTGAAAATTACATTTTAGTACCTTGATATTTACCTTGCATTATACTACCTAAACTTTTAAAACATTACAAACAAGCACAAGGCCGAAAAAATGACCCGACGCTACCCAACCATTATAGAATCTAGAGATGACTAGACTCTAAACTAACCCTATACAAAAGTAAAAAACAGACCCTACCCAATTTTCATGGTCGGGTCGGGCCGGGTCAGGGTCAAATATTGAACCTCAATCTTGATGAAAAAATAGGGTTAGTCAAGCCTATCCTGGTCAGATGGGTCGGGTCGGTTTCTTCCCTCACGAGTCATGTATCAGTAGGTGGGCCTGCACCAACTTTCCTTTAACCTTGTTGGGCTCTTCGATCTGCAGTTCATTTCCTCCGTTAGTCCTGATCCGCCGCGTATCAGACCGGAATCTCATCGACGAGTCGGCCCAATACTCGGCCGAGTACCAGTGATGTTGGGTGCAGCGGATCGAATTTCCCTAACCCCTGTCAGGCAGCGAGGGGTTTTTCGCCGTACGCTCCAACCTCTCAGTCTCAGTCCTCTGACGCCACTCCATCAGTTCCTGAATAAGAAGGTAGAGAGTACAATCTCCGATTTCTTCTCTGCGGAACAAAAATTTCCTCTCTTTTCCAGGTGCGCCGTTACTTCAGTAAGAGCATGTAATGACTGTTGTTCTGCAATTTTACTAATCGAAAGGTTGAATCCGGGAACCAGCTCAAATTTGGAATTAGAATCTTTCGTTTGCGATTGGGCTGCTTGCAAAAATTGATGGGTGTCTCCCTATTAATTTGCATAAGGCTTTTAAAGCTCTCTGCATCGAGGTCTGCCACCAATCTGCAGTTTACACTCTTCTCTGTTTCTTCGACTGTGGAGAGTTCTCTGTAACAATGGGTCTAATCTTGTTAAAGGATGAACGTCGTAGCCTTATTTGGTACGAGGTTTGTTCATAGAGTTCCATGTATGGTGGGAGTTTGGAGGAAATTGTGTGACTATAGCTCTGATGGGGATGCGATGATGGATAATGGGTTCCAGTTGATTGAAGAGCCCCTGAAGAGGACGTGGGGGGATTCAGGGCCCGATTCTGGAAGTGAGTTAGAAACCCACATCGAGAGTCGTTGGTCCCAGAGGCAGCGAGGTAGGTTCGAGGCTGAACGTGTGATCGAAGTTCTAAGGCAAGATGGTCCTGGAGTCGACACCAAAGCAGCGTTAACCGAGCTTCACATAAAGGTGTCGTGGATTCTTGTGAGAGAGGTCCTTGTGGGGATTTTGAGGACCATAAGTCCTGACAACAAAGCGAGGTGGGCGAAGTTGGGGTATAAGTTCTTTGTATGGTCTGGTCAGCAGGACAATTACAGGCATTCAGTGAATTCCTACAATTTGATATTGAAGATTTTTGCAGACTGTGATGAGTTCATGGCCATGTGGAGGGTGGTCGAGGAGATGACCGAGAGTGGTTTCCCAACTACGGCACGAACTTTCAACATATTAATTTGTACTTGTGCTGAGGCAGGTTTGGCTCGAAGGGTTGTAGAGAGGTTCATTCAATCAAAGACGTTTAATTATAGGCCGTTCAAGCACTCTTATAATGCAATCATCTACTCGCTTCTGGGAGTTCGTCACTACAGGTTGATTGACTGGGTGCATCAGAAAATGTTGGGCCAGGGTCTTTTCCCGGATGTTCTAACTTATAATGTCATCATGTGTGCAAAGTATCGGTTGGGGGAGTTGGGCCAGGTCTGGAAGGTGGTGGATGAGATGGTGAGGAATGGATATTCACCGGACTTCCATACCTACAACATAATTCTTCATGTTCTTGGTAAAGGTAACAAACCATTAGCTGCACATAAGTTATTGAATCACATGAAGGAAGAGGGTATCGGTCCTTGTGTACTCCACTACACCACGCTAATAGATGGACTGAGTAGGGCTGGGAATTTACAAGCATGTGAAGGGTTTTTGGACGAGATGAAGAAGAATGGATGTCTGCCTGATGTTGTTTGTTATACTGTAATAATCACAGCATATGTAATGGCTGGAGAGTTTGAAAAGGCTCAGGCCATGTTTGATGACATGACCACCAACGGCCAGCTGCCAAATGCATTTACTTACAGTTCAATGATTCGTGGGTATTGTATGGCAGGGAAGTACAAGGTGGCGATCTCTATGCTTAATGAGATGGAATCCAAAGGCTGTAGTCCGACTTTTCTTGTCTACAGAACTTTGGTTAGCAATTTGAGGAGTGCTGGGAAGTTTCGTGAAGCCCGCAGCATAATTGAGCAGATGGTTGAAAAGGGGCGATATGCCCATCTAGTTCAAAAGATAAGGGGGAACTGGCAAAGCTGAAGTTGCGAGATTTGTGCTTAACCATTGGTTTGCCATGACATTGCTGGCACAGTTGTGAATGATTTGGCTGATCAATTGAAGGCCATGTACACTATTGTGTGGTGTGAGTGCTATACAACAAACCTGCACAGGTGATTATCCTTTTCTTTTATTTCATTTTATGTCGATTTTATTGATTTGTAATGGAATCTCAACTCCAGTGTCATATTTTTTTGTGAAACTGCTCTATACAACATTTAAAGGGAACTAGGACAAATAAATGACTGGGTTCTCTGCTCTCACATTGATTCTAAAGTTGCCTGTATCATGTGGTGTTGGCTTGCAATCCCAGAGTTCTATAGATTCGCCATGTCAATTGGCTTTCATTCTTGTCATTTGCTTTCTCTCTGTCTTCTACCTCCATGAGTGGTATGCTGTGAATATTTTCATTGCAAGGTAGAAATGCAGTCATAATGGTTGCTTTTTGTTTACAGTGACTCATTTGTCTATTAGAGGAATTAGCAGTTCACATTCATGATATTGGAGAAATTGTTATGGACTTCCAGGATTCTGTTATATTGCGTACCTTTCTGATCATGAATGGAGATGCTAGAGATTCAAAATTTATGGTAAGAAGCTATGAAACAGTTCTCCATGAACAGACTATGTAAACTGTATAGGAACTTAGAGTAAATACTCGACCCTGAACCAAATTATGTTATGGACTTCCAGCTCCAGGATTCTGTTATATTGCATACCTTCTGATCATGAACAGAAATGCTAGAGAGCAACAAAAAAAAAAAAAAAAAAAAATGATAGGAAGCTACGAAATGGTTCTCCATGAACAGAGTGTTCTTAGTCCGATGAATTGAGGTTCTTGTTGAAAACGAGGTTTTATGCGTATAGGCATGTAAGCTGCCTGTGTTAGATTTTTACCATTGGGAGAGTGACTGCTTGTTAGTGTCCTTTGCTTTCCGCTCCTCCTACAACTCAATTTGTTTGTCTATGATGCCTACATGATGACTCAAATCTTAAAGTGAACTGATTCACTTTTATCAACTTTGTAACAGGCTGGATTGCAGAGTTTAGTCAGCAGGACGAAGCTCCATTCATAATGAAGTTGCTAGGACTGAACAGCCTCATTAGTCATCACTGAGGCCAGTTGCATTCCTGTTCATATGAGGCGGCGTCTCCAGTCTGTAGCTATGTTACGCAACACAACATTGGCCCAGAAAGCCAACACAACATTGGCAAGCACGACTATGTGGGAGAATGCAAATACTGGGTTGACAGCAAAAAACCCCTTTAGAATTTCCAACTGGCGCCAAAAAGAAACGAGAATCACGAAGCAGAAAAACAAGGAGCACCATGTTTCGTGTTGAAGCAGTTCGCTTTTTCCCATTGCAGCTTGAGCATTGTGCTTGCTATTGCTGGAAAGTTGGTCTGGTTTTCTCTAATCTCCCTACTGCTCACATTCTTAGCATCTAGCGACTGTGAGCTTGTGTTCGCCTTGTCTTGCACATGAATATACTGTAAAGTTTTAACTGAGCTGAACTTATAGGGACTGGAAGTGTTCTGACTTCGATAAACTTGGGTTCTACACGGAAGATCCTCTTCTCCATCAAATATTTGATGGGTACAATGTACACACAGTGTAAACTTTTGATCTTTCCATGAATCGAAACCATTCCTAATACCTTTTATACTTTTAGCGTTAACAATTAACGCTGATGTGGCGGTTCGATCATCTGCAAAGTAGAGTTTATGTGCTGACTGTTCGGTTGTGAAAGATCTATCATTAGTGTAATCTCAGTATCCTTTTGAGATATAGATAGAAATAGAGTTCACATCAGCAAATCCGTTGTAGTCTAGTTGGTCAGGATATTCGGCTCTCACCCGAAAGACCCGGGTTCAAGTCCCGGCAACGGAATATTATTTTTTTCCCAATTTTATTTATGGCTAATACTACGGTGCCGCACTAAAAAGTGCGGTACCGGTGACGCTGTTTATGATTGGGCCACGTGGCGCTGATGTGACACTGATTGGTTTAATTAGTTCGAGCCCATGACCCATAAAAATTTGTAACTTTCCAAACCGAAGCTCTAGCCAGAGACGGGAGTTCCACCTGCCGTTAGTTTTTTTTTTTTTCATTAATTAATTTGACATTGATTTAAGTTTTATATGCATTTATTCATTGTGAAAAAAACGAAGTAAAAACGATTGGTGGCCGTCTTCCTCGTTCTCTCGCTCGTCAGAATCGGAAAAGAGCCTGCTGAGCTCCAACGTCGCCATCCAAACTTCACACCCTCCACCAAATTCAGCATCTGTATTCCTCGTCCATTAATCCAATTCGTTTGGGTTTCCAAGATTGAAAAAAATCAACAACAGGGGACGACGCCGAGGGCCGAACCAAAAGGGAATCCTCGATCTCCTTCGCCGGCGTGCTCCAGAAGCAGTCCGGTGACTTGTTCGTGGCCGATCCCATCTCCAAAAATCACTCCGGTGAATCGTTGAGAGGCGAAGAAGGCTGTATCTTCACGGGCCTCTGTCGCCATCGAAAATTGCCTTCGCCAAATACCAGACCAGTCCAGGTCAGGAAGGGGAGAGACGCCTCCTTCACCGACGGTCGCTCCCAAATCATTTCGGCCATCATGGCCGATCCCATCTCCAGGGTCAATCTTACGCGTCGATTGCGCCCAACACCTGCATATTCAGTCTCTAGTTTGTATCAAAACATCCCTCACCCTTTCATCTGTTGGCCAGGACGAACCTTGCGACAAGAATTTCTTTGCAGCCTCGCCAAATTCAGTTAGATTCATGCTCTTGTAAGGTAAGCTAAAACTACTTTCTTGAAATATGTATGGAGACCTCGTAGAACATGATATGAATATTGGATTGAGGAATCTTTGTTTATTGGAAGTTACTAGTTAGTACGAACAAGACAAGATGAAATGTGGTGACTGAGGCATGGAAATAACATAAAGCTTATTGTATGTGTGTGATTTTTCTCTCCCGTAGATATGAAATATTAGTTGTGTTCAAGGGATCTAAGACAGGGAACCGATTTTCAGATATGTCAATAGTTTGGTGTTAGGTAGTAACTACGTGTAGCCATAACTTGCTTTTGGCTATGTTCCAAAGTTCCAATTTTCCATCTTCAGTGACCCTTTCCTCGTGCTCTTCCTTCTTATACAAGCCAAGCCTTGTCAAAACTACGTGATAGTCTGATTATCGGCATTGAAATCTGTTGGTCCATCTTCTGGTATTACTTATTGCCAAGCCGAATTCCAGATAGTTTGTTAGCTGGTCATTCTGAATTGTATGTTTCTCGATTTGAAGCACTAAATATCTTAGAGCTTGACACAGCTAGTTCAAGGCACTGTGACCCTGGTTTCTAACTCCATGAATGAATTTCTTAATGCCACTGTAAACGTGCAATTTCTGAATGGTTTTTAGTGTCTAACAACTTAAACGTGCAATTTCTGAATGGACTTCTTAAAGACTAATCTACCTCTGCCACAAGAATTTCTTTGCAAGGTACTGATTTCTAAATATGTCAATAGTTTGGTGTATAGGAAACAAGATGAATATATATTGCATTTTGGCGTCCATTGTAGTAAAATGAGACTGTGTTCCCTCAGAATCCCTTCGAATTCAGTTAATGTTTAATTAAATTAGTTAGGGATTTAGTTCAATTTGTTAGGTTCGTAATGACGTTTCATATAATAGTTTTGTAATCTTTGACAGGTGGCAAGGGTATTGTTTATCCTTGAAGGTTCGTTTCATATAAAGCAAAAGTGATTCCCGTAGGTTTGTGATCAATAGGTATGTTCTTAGATTTTATTGTAAAGCAGTGAAAAACTTATCTCTGGATATGTTTGTGGCCGGAGATCCTGATTGAAACTTTTGTCAGTATAGAGCCTAAAACACCCGATATATCTCTTTATACAGGTCAAGATTACCAAGCTTGGTGAAAGAAACAATGTGAGATTGGTTTCATCATTAGGAGAGTGATTCTGCATTGACTAGGGGTAGTGGAATAGAGGTTGAATGATATTGATACTTTTTGCATTCTTGGTTGATAACTGAGTTAGTTTGTTGTCGCGGAATGTAAACTCAGTTAGTTTCAATTAATATTTCCTTGGTGCCTTATTTGCTGTTAAATTCCAGCATCTACGTGTCCTCCTGTGTCCTCTATTAGTCTTTCTGTGTCCTCCATCAGTCCTTCAGCTGCCCTCTTGGTAAGTTTTTGGATCCCTACTTCTTATTATTGCATATCTAGTGCTACTTTGGAGATAGGCAGAAATTTGCTGGCAAATACGGGGCATATAAGAGGCAGAAGTTTGAAGTTTATCTTTCTGCAGGGCTTCAAAAGCTGGCAAGAGGCTGAAACTGAAAAAAAGAGGCAGAAGTTTATCTTTTGCAGAGTCTGATTCCTTAACTATAGATTAACATCAGATAGTGAATGATTGGGGGTGTAGACGTGGTAGATAATACTGTAAGTTTAGAGGAAGTAATGAGATGGTATGCAAATTGCAGCTTTTTAGAGCATTGACTTCTTGAGTTATTGATGCAGCTTTATCATCTAAAAGATTGATGATCATGTATATGCTTAAAGGCTTATTTGAGATGAAATTTAACTAGAATTTGTGCTGCCTAGTTTCTAGTTCGTATTGACCTTGAGCAATATAAGTATCTCTTGCATCTGGTTTAGAATGTGGAATGCCAAAACAAGGCCTGAATTGTGATTCTTGACTTGAGAAAACTTGTGCAGAACTCGAGTTTTGGGTAAATCAACATGAGTCGTTTGATTTGGCCAGTTTGAGTCGACATATGAGCAATGAATTTGTGTCTAATTCTTTGAATAAGATGTTATAATGTGTCTATCTATACCGACCCGTGTCTTGAGCGGAAGTATGATCTGATTAGCGGTCAATATTGGCACTAGGAATCTGTGTACTGCATTTGCAATCGTATTTTGAAGAAGATAATTTGTAATTCACATTTGTTTGATTTAATGAACTATTTCACTTGCATAAGGCTTCAATGCCTAATTATAAGCTTACAGGAATATCCATGTGGAGTAACAGAACAACATTACAAAAAAGAACCAAAACAACATTACTAAAAAGCTCATGAATTAAGCCGCAACAGGGTGGTCCTTGTGTAGCTGATACACTTCCTTGTATGGCTTGACAAGCATACTTGATTCACAGATTAAATGAGGGTTTTCCCTGCCAATATAAGCTTCACTGTCTCGGAATGAACAAACGTAACAAATCCGAACATGAGCTTCTGCTGATATGCGATCCTCACATCTTCAAGTGGTCCAAAAGTGCTTCAAAAGAGGGGGGAATGAATCACTTGGTCAGTAGTCTCAAATGTCATTGGAGTATGAACATCATAATGAACTTCACCAGCATATAAGAGATCCCGTGTATCATAGAAAACTCTGCATGTTAGCGCCACCTGTTAGAGCCAAGAGATTGGAAGTCCACTACTTTGCATGCGGTTTATTCCCAATTTACACGTTTCCATTCTAATGTTCGTCTTGACGGCACAACTTCTACGCAAAAAGGTTTCCACACACCTAGTCACTCGAACCGTGCACGTACCGTCTAGGTGATCCTTCACAAACAGTCTTCCTGAGATGACACATCAATAGCAATTCCTTTGGTTTTCAACACCAGGGAACGTAATACCGCCTCAACTTGGAGTTCCTAAGTCCTCGTAAGTAGAATGCAAGTGAAAGCTCAACGGCACAAAGGAAAGAAGAAGGTTATGTGCATTCATAATCTTTCCTAGGCAAAAAACTTCTTGCCCTCATCTCAGTACATCATGTCTTCATCGCAGAGCACTAACCCGCCAACGCAGATCACTCCCGAGCCACTGATGGGAGTAAAGCTCTCCCCGACCATGAAACCAAGGCGGTTGCCCTATCAATTTACCTGGGTACACAATGAAACTCAATCAGGTAAAACAAAAGATAAGCGAAGGAAAGGATGGAATCCGATTGCGAGCAGCAGCCTTGCACTAAGGACGTTCTTGTAACTATACTGACTATCTCTTGCTAATTAGTACTGGATTCACCTTGTATTTGAACTTTGAGGAGTCATTATAACTAATAAGCTAGCAGTACATAATTGTAAGCAGTAGCTTAGATTTGGGCGACAAAATTTATCTCCTGTAGAATTTGTAGCTTTAACATGGCTTATGAGCAGTTGGTAAAAACTAATCAAACTATGCTTTTCACAATAGCCAAAACAACAGAACAATGAGACAAGCCATAACGATTGATAAAGTAGACAACCATTAAACTGAAACCTGTACAAACTTCACTAATTCAAAATTTCAAGAATTTGATGTCGGTCATGTGGGGGAATTGTCTTTTTCAACTTGCAAACTAAGAAATGCAACATAAAAAATACTACAGATGTTCTTTGAGAGCTTTTCCGCTGGTCATAGAGCTTCATGGTCAAATACCAATCAAGTAGAGATTATGAATGAAATAGTAGACCGGGGAATTGCTTATCCAGTGAAGAAGTCGACCAGAACTAAGAAGCAAACAGACCGGCGATTCAAATGAAACGGAAATAGAAACTTAGGGTTTCAGTGATTTCTGGAAATGAAATCAAGTAATAATCGATCGATTAATGAGACTGAAATTGAGAAACCAGTTCCCTGATGCTCGGTAAACACAACAACACAAAGGAAAATAATCCCCGACATAACAACTCAAGGCAGAAGGAGAACAGGCCTAATCGAGACCAATCAATGTTCTAGCTTCTCAAAAAACAAACGATCTGAATTACCAGGATCCTTCAATTTTGTTAGGCAATGTCTCCAGGCACCAAGGAACTTCGAATTATGCTTCGTCAACAGGAAGGGTACAGAGCGGCGAGACGCAACAGAGGGAGGGAGATGCACTCTTCCTTTGCCTTGGGATCGTCGGTATCGGCAGAGTGCTTTGATGGAGCCAGAGGGCCGCTTGGGAGCAGGGATTCATGTTTTGTTTTACACAAATCAATCAATGGATTCGGAATACAGTGAAGGTAATGGAGTTTGGACCGGCCGGCAGACTGTGGAGTTCGCTGTTCCAGTTCGATCGTTTCAGAATCGGACGAGCGAGAATTTCCTACTTTCTTTTACTGCAGAAAAATAAATGATATCAATTTTTAAATAAATGAAAAAATAAAACAATTAATCGGATGGGGAAGGACTATCGTTAGTTTGACGGGAGTTGGTTTGCTCACTTCTTCCTCATTTGCTCGGTTAATAATTGCTGGGCTTGGGTCAATCAAAGCCAGCCATGCCACATTTATAAAAAAAAAAAGCCAGCCATGCCACATCAGCGCCATGTGGCCCAATTAGAAACGGCGTCACCGGTGCCACACTTTTTAGTGCGGCACCGTAGTATTGGCCTTTATTTATTTCTCTTTACACTGGAAACAACTGGGCCGGGCCGGCAAATTGGGCCAATTAATTACTTTCTCCCATCTGATCTCTCGCTTTACTTTCTCTTCCTTGTCCTAACTCCTAACCGAAGGCGGCCGCGGCGACGATATGTTCCCGGCGCCAAAACCCAACTGTTCTTTCATCAAGCACTTTTTCCCGGTGTGTTTGAATCTTCGTCTATCTTCAACTAGGCCGTGCCCAAAGAAAGCGTGAATCAGGTTAGGCGGAGCTCTTCCGAAATAATTCGTGCTTGTTCTTATCTTCCTGCCGTCTGTTTCTCGCTCGCGTCCCAGTAGCCGGGCGGGGAGATTGGGTTTCTGTTTCCTAGGGTTTTGGTGTCCCTCAATCTGACTAAAATTGGTCGCAGGAGAACCTATTGATTTCTGATTGAAGCTGTATATGTAAAGAAGTAGATCCAATGATACCTTTTGTATGCTATGAAATGTTGAATTGTTATGAATGGTCATTGCGATGGAACTGGAACTAAGATTGAGTTGGCAATGGTTTGTGCAGGCAGACGGAGGAAGGCGATAGTGATCGCGAAAACATGGCCGACGAAAGGAGAGCTCACCCTGACTGTATAAATGCGACGAATCCTTACCATGAGTGTGTAGAGTATTGCTTCAAGAAGATTGCAGAAGCTAAGCCTAGAGCAGGTATGGAAGTTTCTTATGCTTGAGAGACCCTTCTTATGAGGGGGTATTAAGATCCTCTTGTTCTTGTTCATCCCAAGTCGATAGTTTTGTCCTTCGGGCATTGTGAATGAATGGATCTGTAGTCTCCTTTTAGTTTGACTGCTCAATTTAACTTCATTGGTGTTTATGCTTATTTACGCTTGGCTATGTGGTTCTGTTCTCATGGTTGTTGACCAATTTGTATCAGAGTTCAAGCAAGCTCAAGCTGGTAATGATCAAGCCAATGAAAGGACAGAGAAGCTTGTCGAAAGACCAGATTCTAACGATGATGATGATAGCCACAGTGACAAAAATGACCAAGGTGTGGAGGAATTCCCGGAAGAAGATGTTACTAAACTTACCGGAAGGCGGAAAAAGCTGTACGAGTTGAAGCGTAAGATGGTATAAGTTCTTCTTAACTAAGAATCTTGATTTGATTGTTCCATGAGAGGTTCCTTTTGACTGTATGTTCTCACTAACTCCCTTTCCTTTTCTCGTCCTCTGATTGTCCTTTTTTTTCTGTTTGTAAATCCAGTATGAGGCGAAGAAAGCCAATCAAATGGCAATGGTGGCTGAAAAGAAGAGATTGGAACCTCCTCAAGAGTCTCGAGGTATTTCCAAACAAAAATGGCTCGAGGAGAGGAAGAGGAAGATCGGTAAACTTCTTGATGCAAATGACTTGGACATGACAAAGGCATATATGCTGGATACACAAGAGGCAGCAGAAGTCAAGTACAAGAAATGGGACAAAGATCCTGCTCCATTTGGTTGGGATGGTAAGTCTGCATTTCTTCTTAGTCACCTTCATTTATGCGTTGATCTCCAATGGGAGTTGAAACTGATTGTACATAATGTTCTACCAGTTTTCAATCAGAAGACTCTGTATAATGCATATAAGAAGAGGACAAAGAATGTTAATGTGGATCTAGAAGAGTATAACAAGATGAAAGAAGCCGATCCTGAGTTCTACCGGGACGCCTCAAGTCTTCAATACGGAAAGGTAATAATCCTCCCTGGAATCTTTTGATTCCCGTTAGATATGATTTTGTAAATAGCGAACAATTATATTTACCTCCTGAAATTGGAAATGACCCCAGGCACCAAAGATCTCAGAGGATAAGGTTGACAGAATGGTGAAGGAACTCAAGGACCGGGATGCGAAGCGCGGATCATTCAGCCGAAGGAGGAGATTCCATGAAGAGAAGGATATCGACTCGATCAACGATCGTAATGAGCACTTCAACAAGAAGATCGAGCGAGCCTTCGGTAAATACACGCTGGAAATTAAGAACAATCTGGAGAGAGGAACTGCACTGCCCGACTAAACAATGCCTCACTCTCTCAGAGGTGGGGGCTGTTTTGTGTAAGCCTGCACAAGTACACAGTTTCTGGCGTTGTTTATGAAATTGAGTGGTCCTTGAACTATAGAATTCAGGGAGTGTGCTTTTCAATTTCCTCAACTGAACGAATGAATACAACCAATCTCCTCCGATGTTTGTATCATAAAGTATCATTGTCACTTTTTCTGCACTCTTGATTTCCTCATTCGCATTCCAACTTTGAGCAAGAGTTGTAATATATTTCAGAATCTTTCTCCAGATTACCAAATATTATGTTCTAGGTCCATTTTGCTATAAATTCCTCCATGTTTTCTTTGCCAACTAGGGTTTGGCGAAGTTTTGGCTGACCCACTGGAAATTAATGAGGTTGTCGAGTCTCTAGCTACCAGCCTAGCCTAACACTAGGGCTGCAAACGAGTCGAGTTTTTGCTTAGTTCGAGCTCGGTTCGTTTATAAATTTCTCAGCTCGAGCTCGGCTCGAACTCGAATTTTGATAATTTTGCCCGAGCTCTGCTTGATTAAAAATAAACAAGCTCGAGCTCGACTCGGTAGAGCTCGATAAATGCTCATCAACACAGCTTGTCAAGCATAATAGGAGCTCGGCTCAGGATGAGCTCTATTTGAAATCATTATTGCTGAAAAATGTGTACACATAGATTTTAAATCATAAAAAGAACACTAGAAACTATAAATAACAACTAACTTCCATACACATCCGTATTAACAAGATAATGTTCATGTTCATAAGAGTAATTAATCCTTCCACGAGCTCTAAACAAGCCAGCTCGCAAGCTTAGCTCAACAAGCCACCAAGTCAAGCTAGCTCACGAGCTTATCAAGCTGCGCATGGTCTAACTCAAGCTTGGCTCATTTGCTAACGAGTCAGCTTATTAAATAACAAGTTGAGTATCGAACGAGTTTTTCCCCGATTTGAACACCGAGTTTCTCGCGAGCGGCTTGACTCATTACAGTTACAGCCCTACCTACCACTTATCTGGATATTACAGTGTGTTGGTGATAAGGGAATCTAGCTAGTGTGCACATGTGGAGGGTTGATTGGCCTGTGTTGATATTGTTGAATCACCCTCGTTTGCATTTTTGTAAACAAATCCAACGACGGCGTCGATTCAACATAAGTGTTGATCACTCCCACATTAGCATGCTAGCTCAATTGGTGATAATAAGGAATGTTGGGATGATTAGAGTCCTGTCCTATAATGGGATCAAAGCAAGCAAGAACATGATGAACCTGCCAGACTCTCTAATGGAGGATGGCAACGGCATCTTTTTCTCTGGTTTCCTTGAGAAGGCCAAACTGTCAACTGCACTGAGGTATGGTTCTGCCAATGGAATGGAGGAGGACCACAAAGGAAAAAGGAGTGGTCCACCAATTCTCAACGGTCAGCACAGGCAGAGGTAGCTAGCTCACTAAATTTACTACTCCATTTCCCTTCATAACTTCTTTTCCTTTTTTGATTTGGAGCCTTGTTAGCCTTTTTATTTGGACCGCAACTGCACCCAACTTATAGGCAGAGTGCAAAAGGCAAAAAGGAAGGTGGTGGGGTTTATGCCGCCGAGCCAGGCCAGTAATTAGCCCACCTAGGCTGCAAATGAGCCGAGCTGCTCACGAGCGGCTCGACGTTCGACTCGAGAAAAGCTCGTTCGAAACTCGGCTCGTTAATAAACGAGCCGAACATGAGCTCAGCTTTGCTTAGCTCGTGAAGCTTGCGAGCTAGCTCGACTCGATGGCTTGTTGAGCTAAACTCGTGAGCTGGCTCGTTTAAAGCTCATGATATGTCTCAACATGTGGCTAGAGAGCCAACTCGATTACCGACTTATGGACGAATCAATCTATATCTTATGATTTTAATTCATATGTCTGTTAAATTATATATCTCACCATATATAGTTTAACACGTTGAGTATGTGAGCAAATATATCTTAGTTTCTACTTAAAAAAAAATTATGTATCATAGATTGCTTCGATACTATGAAATAACATGATTTTGAGTAGTTAAAATTTATTAACTAAATGATATATAATACCAACAAAGTAGAATATGAGATTACCTAACAAAATAAATCATTTGTATAATGATATACAAAATGAAGTACCAAATAATAGTCAAGATTTTAGTTAACAAACTAGCTCGAACTCGACTCGGCTCGTTAATAAACGAGCTGAGCTCGAGTTCGACTCTTTTATTAACGAGTCGAGCTCAAGCTGGGGTAAAACTCGACTCGACTCGGCTCATTTGCAGCACTAAGCCCACCCTTCACTTCACAAACCCACACCCCATGTGACCGGTTTGGCGGTTTCACCATGCTGCAAACGAGAGCCTACTGGATATTGATCAACTAACGATTCTCTAACAATCAGGTTGTGCACTTTTGTGTCGGTGTTAGGCTTCGCCCATTTTTTATGTCGAGAACTTGTCGATTCACACAAATCTTACCATGCGACAGTATTCTCAAGGAAGTTTAAATATGAGATTAAATTGATTGCAAATTATTACGCTTTTTTTATGACTATTTTCAATTTTAAATCAGTAAATTATTATGGACACGACATGCATGTAACTCTTTCCGATTCTCGTTGTCTGAGAATACAATTGCTTACTTGACGAACAAGGGCTTGGTCTAGTGGTAATACCACTAGCCTAGAACCTGGAGGTCCCAGATCCGAATCCCTTAAGTAGTACCTTAATCACAAAAAAGAAACCTATATCATCCTAAAAAAAATACAATTGCTTACTTGTGACTCCTTCAGTTCATGGGATGAAATGGATTATCATAACAATGGGGGCCAGCTTTTTCCCCCAAATCAATTGAAAGAAGGAGCAACACTCAAAAGGAGAGGCCAAAAGGAAAGTAAATCCTTGGCCCTTTGCTTTTTTGGTTTAAAGGTGGCATGTAGGTAATCAACTTTCTAATCCATTTGCAAACAAGAAACTCCTCTATCAGAAATTTAGGATTGAGGTTCGTTTGCTTCGTCGATTTGAAAAATGAAGATTTTTTTTATTTTGGTAGAAAAAAATGAAGATTTTGGTAGAACTTGAGTTTTGAAAAACCATGGATATATGAGTATTTTGGGTTCATTATGGACTTGGAAAACACCATTGTTTGTTTCATAGATTTCATCATGAATTTTGCTAATTAGATTCGTATGTTTGAAGTTAAATGAGATTTATTGCCCCATATGTATAGAAAAGAAATGAAATAAAATGGGTATATTGGTGATAAACCAAAGAATCCATGATGAATTCCCAAAGAGGAGAGTTTTAAGTTTGTGGAGCCCAAGAATTTGAACCCTCAAAATTTGTAGAATGGACTTGTTACCTCTAAATTAATCAAATAAACGAAGGATTTTAGCCAAAATCTATGATGGCTTCAAATCCATCAACAATCCTTCACTAATAAATCTATCAAGCAAACAACCCAACGACACCTCCTCTTCTCTCTTCTTCTTTGTATCAGGACTTGGATCTCTCTCTCGTCTCTCCTAACCTGTTGGGATAAACCCATCGAGCAGAGGATACAATACAAGTACCGAATTCTAGAAAGTCGAGTGAGAAAAACCAACGTTCCAAGAAGCTCCCAGCTGCCTCTTAATGGGCCCCGTGAACATCAGGCCTGTAGGCCCACGCCAGCTCACAATGATACTCTATGGGGAAAATGGAATTGACCATTCAGGAAAAGAAAGAGAGCCCAATTATTGTTTTACCCAGCCCAAAGCATTTATTAAAATAAAATGCCTCAACTCCCTCGACCTGCCACATTTCCCAATTCTGCCCAAACCAATTGTAACCGGGTTCCTCTCATCCCTGTCCTTTTCCCCCCTCTTCTCGCTCGCTCTCTCTCTCTCTCTCTCTCTCCTTGGTCCTTTCTAACTACTGTAACGTTACTTACCACACTTACCGAGCTCAGAGTAAATAGGTTTCTTCACATACAAAAAACAAGGCAAAGTAAAACCCTAACCAGATTATGAAGTGTAGAGGAAGGGAGTTCCAAAAGAAAAGAGGATCCATCCATCCGTCCATCCAACCCATTTCATTACATCCATCCATCATCCCCAAATAGTAGCAATAACAAACATCATCATCATCATTCACCATCAATCATGGAAACTAACTCTCTCACATACACACCAACGATAAAAACAAATGGCGGATTTTAAACATAATTAACAAGGGAGGGAGGGGAGAGAAGAAGAAAAGACAGGAGAAGCTCTGTTCATGGAGCTCTCTGCTTGGCTAGGGAGTTGCTTTCTCGGTTTCTCGCTTCTAGTTGGTAGGGTTGCTGCGGAAAGATCCCAAAGCTTTAATGGCCGCCGCCCTCAGAATATACTGATGGTATGCTGCTGCTGCTAGTGCTCCCACGAATGGTCCGACCCAGAACACCCACTGCCCCCCACAAAACCAAAATCACATTAAGCAAACCCTAAACCCCAAAACAGAGTCGAAATTTAAGAAGGTTGCCAGACTGTAGACTTACATGGTCGTCCCAGATCTTGTCGTTGTTGAAGATCACAGCTGCGCCGAAGCTCCTAGCCGGGTTGATTCCAGTTCCAGTGATGGGGATGGTGGCCAAGTGAACCATGAACACTGCAAACCCAATAGGCAGAGGAGCCAGCACCTACAAGAGTAAACCAAAACACAAACCGAAATCAGTGTCCGAACTCTTGAAAATTGAAATCCCATAACACAAAAATGTTAAGAAACAGAGGATTTTAACTACTTACAGGGACGTGGGAGTCACGGGCGCTTCTCTTGGGGTCAGTGGCGGAGAAGACGGTGTACACAAGCACAAACGTCCCAATAATCTCAGCCCCCAAAGCTGTCCCAGTGCTGTAGCCAGGAGCAATGGAGTTAGCACCACCGCCAAGGCTGTTGTAAGGGTGCTTCATGAAAGCCTTCACCAGCCCAACACCGCAGATGGCGCCCAAACACTGAGCCACCATGTATGACACAGCTCGAATCAACGACACTTTCCTCGCCAGGAACAGCCCAAAAGTCACTGCTGGGTTGATATGCCCACCTGAAAACACACAGAAAAACAAAGAAATTTCAGATTTTTACCGCAACCCATTACTCTACATGACCAAATTAGAAATGGGTAACATTTTATTCACA